CGTCATCTATTTTTTTATTAATTTATTTAATTGTTCATCCTAAAACGAAAATTTATCTTATAAACGAAAAATAATTATTTTATATTTTTTTATAATTTTCTTATATCCTAAATTGAGCCATTTTATAAAAATAAAATAAAAATAATAATAATAATAATGTATTTATTTGCGAAATATAGGTTAGGCATGAGGTGTACAGTACAGTAATTTTTATCGCTATATTCTACCCATTTTGTAGGGTGTGCAAATATGATATGTTCGCTTAAAGGTTGTCAGTATACATTCTCAAATTTCTTAACTATCATAATCATAAAATAAAATTGAAAAAATTATATAACAGAATATTAAAATAATATTAAAACATATGTCTATGAAAAAAGTAAGTTAACAAACATTAATAATAGAACAGAGAACAAAATGACAAATGATTAAATGACAAAAAAATAAAAACGTTCGATAAAATTGCACATTATTAATTCTCTGAATAAGTTTTGATTATTAATTTGAAAAAAATTCGTTTATACTGTAATAACATTTTTCTGTTAACATGTCGCGTAGTTTTTTCTTAAATAGATTTGTGTTTAATTCCTTTATTTCTTTCGGGAGCCTATTATATATTTTTGGTGCCATGCAGAATATACTCTTGCTCATAAGTTTAGTATTAGTTTTCGGTAAACAAAGTTTGTATATATCACGTCTGCTTCGCTCATGGTTGGGCTTGGAAAAAGAGACAAGTTATTTTTCACAAACACCGCACTCTCAAATATGTATAACGACGGCATGGTTAATATTTTATATTTTATAAAAGAAGATTTACAGCTTTCTCTCGTGTTTAATTTACACATCACTCTAACGCATTTTTTTTGCGACCTGAATATATTTTCTTTCATGCTGCAATTTCCCCAGAATATGATGCCATATCTAAGATGCGATTCTACATAGGCATAATATGCAGTTAACAGTGATTCAATGTTTAAGGTACTAGACAATTTCCATAGAATATATGCCGCTTTACTTATTTTGTTACACACTATGTCCGCTTGATAAGTCCATGTTAATCTAGTGTCGATTGCCAAGCCTAAAAACTTTGTGTAGTCAACTTTTTCAATTTGGTTTCCATTGTGTATTACTTTTAAATTTACATTATTTATTTGCACATCTTTGATAGAACTTTATAAATTTAGTTTTATCTAAATTAACTTGTAAATTATTTTTTTGCAATTCTTCAATGATTTGTGTTAGTGTTGAATTTAATTCGTCTTCTAAATCATGTTTGCCGATGATAGCTGTGCTATCATCGGCAAATAAAACCATGGGGTGCGAAATACATTTAGGTAAGTCATTTATGTAAATAAGAAATAACAATGGTCCTAACACACTTCCCTGTGGAACGCCATACCGAACATATCGAGACTTAGATGTGTAAATTTTTTCTTCTCTCATTTTCATGTCGATTCGAGTTATTTGTGTTACTTGTCGCCTATTGGTCAGGTATGTCCGAATCAGATTTAAAATATTACCTCTTATTCCGCAATATTCAACTTTATGCAATAATATTTGGTGATCTACATAGTCAAAAGCTTTACTCATGTCTAAAAACAGAGCGCAGATATCTATTTTATTATCAATGTTTTTGATTATTAAATTTAATAAATCATATATTGCTCTATTAATTGTTTTTTATTTTCCTGAATCCCTTCTGTTCATCCACTAGTAGATTAAATTTTTCGAGATAATTACTCAGGTATTTATGCATAATCTTTTCAAAAATCTTCGAAATAACTGGTGTAAGGGCAATGGGTCTATAGCTGCTTATATCATCTTTCGAACCCTTTTTTTTTTATAGAGTGGTTTAATAACAGTTGTTTTAAGACCCTCTGGGTAAACACCAACTTGTTCACATAAGTTAAATATGTAACTTAAATGTGGAGAAACACTCTTGTTAACTAACTTAATGACACGTGTAGAAAGTTCATCATATCCAACGCTATTTGTGTTTTTTAGTGACTTTATAGCATTTGAAACATCTAGAGGAATGATTGGTGGCATAAAAAATGAATGCGCAAATGCTGTTAATGTGATATTTTTATTAGTTCTTGCAACTTGAGATGCCAGTACTTGGTCAGTATAATAATTATTAAATGCATCGGCAATGTCGTTCGGATTATTGATGATAGCATTACCAAAGTTTATTTTTTTCAATGTATTCTTGCTGGTGATAACTTTTATTTCCATTAATAATTTGCCAAATAGTTTTAGATCTGTTATTTGATAATTTAATTCTATAATTATTTCTAGCTTTTTGTGTAAGCTTAATAACCTTTTTAAGTCTATGAGTGTATGTTTTTAGAAGCAGTCTTGTTTGCTCATTGGGATTTAGCCTGTATCTCCATAGCATTTTTCTCTGTGTTTTAGAACATAACTTGATGCTTTTAGTCAGCCATTTAAACCGTTTATTTAATTGGATAGTAATTGTGTTAATGGGAAAACACAAATCATAAATTAATTTAAAAGTTTCTATAAATTTATTGTAGGCATCATTAGGTTCATTTGCTGTATACAACTCAGAAAATGAAAGTGATTCAATGTATGATTTAAATTTATTCATATTTTCCTTGTTATAATCTCGACGTCTTATTTTCCATGTGTCAATAATGAATTTTTTTGCAACAGGATATTTACACAGCTGGGCAGTATGTATAAAAACATAATAATTAGTTGGCTAACAAATTAAAAGTGAAAATAGTATAAAAAGTACAACTCCACTCGATGAGTGGTTTGAACTCGGGACTAGTTTACCGTTGTGTATGACGCTCGGACCAACAGGCTACGCGAGGTCCGTGCAAAGTAACAAAATTTCGAAATGTAAACGAAAAAAAAACGAAAATGTAATAACTAAATTTGTATTCGTAATTTCTGCAAAAATTTTATGAGCCATTTCTTTAAAATCACAATATAAACCATGAAAACACAAAATAATAATTATAAGTAATTTGCCTTTATTAATTTATTTGACTTTAAGATGTATTTTAAATCAATTCCTTTTCCATTTAATTAATTAGATAATAATAAACAGGAAGAAGATTTTCTAAAATTGTTGATTGCTTTCTCATACTTTATATTTGTTTGTTTATTATAATTAATTATAATCCTATTATAATATAAAAGTAAAATACAATCATGGTCCATAAAATATATTATAGGGATCATCTGTGTACATTTTCGAAAGCCTTCCATGATACTATCGATAGTATCCTACGGCCCATCACTACACACACACTAGGTAATGAATGACTTGGTCTAGCGGCGCATCGACGAAACTCGCGCGCTGCGCGCCGCTAAGCGACGTTACCCCTCCTCCGCTTCCTCATACTTCACCACCAAAATAGTTAAAAATTCACTGAATACAGTGCCTTAAGTTAAAAAAATATAGTTTGTTTACGAGAGTTGTGTGTGTACAGCGTGAGCTATGAATAAAATATAAAATTATTCTTATAAATCGTGTGGATAAAAAGTCGTGGTCAGTAAAAAGGACCGTCTTAATTGCAACAGAGTTATATGATTCCTAGCGGACCCGACAGAACAGACGTTGTCCTCTACACACGACTTAAATCCGACAACAACTTATAAATAAAAAAAAAAAACATGTAGTGGACCGAATTGTTAATCTAAACCATTCTCGAATTGACTTGAATCAGTGGTACGACTTTGTTTTATACTATGTAGTGATAAACAACAAGGAGACATTTACATTTCAAGTGACATTTTACCACAGTACTCCCTTGTTTTGACTTCCCGGAACCCCGCCACTAACACTTAAACTTTATAGTATGGTATTGAAGTTCAAATTGACTTTTAATTATTATTACGAATCTTTTGTACGGGAATCTAGAAGTGTTGTTTTTCGACTATTTCAGGCAATTTTTTAAATTTTTTCTTTCATAAGAACTTTCTTCTGATAATAACAAACACAACAAAAAAAAAGACAAAGGGAAATAGGGATTCATGTACATATATATATATATATATATATATATTCACACAGAAGGTTCCGACTCGGTACTGTCATCGTTTATTGAAATAAAACAAACTTTTTAAAAAAAAAAATCGGAACTTGTTGACAATGCGATAGTCATTCATAAATGCGTCGTATAAATAAAATAAATTAGTTGCCCACGAATGAAGTAGATGAAGATTACTGGAGTTTATAATGGACCGGAAGCTGCGAAGACGCGCATTATTTTTAAGAGTGGCTATGGTGTGGCTGAAGGGCGGAGTATTCTCGTCAAGAAGTTGTTCAAAAAAGGGTAAAAATTTACTTTAAAAAGACACTGTACTTAATATACACCAAGGAGTAAAGAAAGAAGAAAGGTTCTAAAATACGTGGCTTCGCCACCATGCGAAATACCGGAGCGATCATTACGGATAACGGCAGGGAGAAGAACGTAGAAGGGATACAGGGATGAAGGAAGGTTTCCAGAATTAAGACAACGTGAAAGTGACTGAATATTTTTATTGTCAAAAGTAGCGATCACATAGTTGTAGTTAGCTGGTACACTTTGTGTGTTGATATGCAAGGCATTAAAGTTTTTAAGTGCATCACGAAACTCTGTTCCTAGAAATCCACACAAAGGAAGCTATGAAAGCTGTCCTCAAAAGAAGAGTCGAAAAGAGAATAGCAAGGAAGGTAAACATCACTTTGTTCACCAATGACTAAGTCGACATTATTATTACCAAAAAGTGTATATACATAACAAGAGTTACCCACCCCGGCATCGCACGAGTGAAATGTATTATACATAATTATAAAACTTCCTCTGGAATCACTCTATCTAGTAAAAAAATCGCATCAAGTTCCGTTGCGTACTTTTTAAGATCTAAGCTTATATTTTATACTATTTAGTGATGTAAATTAAATTAGTATAAATCAAACATGTGTAATATCTTCATTTATTTAAAAATATTACAAAATTTTAGTAAAAAATCTAGGCAAACTTTCAGTATAAATTAAAACAAAGGTTGATAAATTTCCAAATGACGTAGAGGTAGAGAACAGATACAATGTAATTCATAATTTTAAACAATTTCTGTCTTTTGATGGCGTATTCACATGATTTCTCGCTATCTTTCACCAAATACTTCCGTATACCCAAGGTCCAAATGCGAATTTTCTTTTCCCAATCAACGGCCGTTATGTCCATATCAAAAATCTGTTTGTCAACGGGTGAGAGGTTCTTGAATAAGTTTTGCGTATTTTGATCTTCGAAGGTCCACTGGTTTGTTGTAAAATAACTCAATGCGTAACTTAGTTTATCCACTTTTTTATAAATTTTCACCAACCTGGATAGGAAATGTGAAGGTGATTTACTACAATAGCCAAAATTTGCCTGTAGTTACATTTAATGTATACACTAAATGATATGTATACATTAAATGAAACTATTGAAAAAACTTTAAGATGTTTTCATTTAAACCTTATTAAACGTCTGGTACTTGTTTTATTTAAAATACACATGACCTGACGGTTCACTGGCTGTTGTGTAATAACCGCCACCCACGGACATTTGCAACACCCGTAGGGTTGCAGATGCGTTGCCACCTTTTAATAAAGTAGTCCCCGGTCACCTCACTCACCAGACGGTACGCAGAAGTATAACGCTTCCACTTCACGCCATTCTTCTTTTGAGATCACTAAACATCTAAACTATGCAGAATTAGCTGAAATGACGATAGTTTTTCGTCGAAAAGCAATAGAAACTTACCTACCTTTTCTCGACATCGAACGAGAAAACTTATTAGAAATTTAAAACTTTAATCAAATCAAATCAAATTTCCCAGCATCCTCTCGGACACTAATTTATAATTCATAGAACATAAAGTGCTTATTACAAATAATTTATCAGTAATTGAATATTGTCCGTACACTTACATTCTTGGCTTTCCCAGCAAAAGACAAACTCCATCAACGATGTAAGCGGGTATGTAGTGCAAGAATATAGTGATCAATTTGTACAATAGCTTAAATTTCGTTGGAATAGCAAAACAGTACCAAATGGCTTTGGAATATACAATTTTCTTTTTAAGAAGTTCTAGATTTTGCTGCATCGTCCCTGAAAGTGCGAAATTAATAAAGTCGGGGTGACTTCACACACCAAATACTTTTTAACTATAAGACTGAATGCAAGAAACACACACACAAGTCAATGAAAACTGTGTATATTCTTTACTAAGCTGTTGCCCACGACTACGTCCGCGTAAAATAGGCTGAGGGCGTAACATTCAGCCAGAAAGACAGATATACTTACATAAAAAATATGTGTATAAATTTTAATTTATATACATATTTTTGTGTTAATTAATAAATAAATATTTTAAAGTTAAATTATAATTTACATACATATTTTTATGTATGTCTGCCTATGTCTTATTCTGATATATAAGCTATATTATTGTAGTTTCATTAAAATCTATTATGAAGTTTTTGCGTGAAAGAGTAACAAACATCCATCCATACAAACAAACTTTCGCGTTTATCATATTAGTAAAGATTGCGTTACTGGATTGAAAATCGGTCAATATCCAATAAATCGACACCAACAATCTATACGACACGCTAGCTCGATTTTAGGTGAAATCGTTTAGTTTTTACCAATAAATAAGTTGTCAAAAAAACTATAGAAAAATATACAAAAGTGAGTAAAGTTCCTTTAGGAAATCTCTCGATGTAAATTACGCTAATTACTATAAGCGGAGTGTATTTGTATGTTTACATTAATGTAACGGCACTTGACGTTGTCTCGATCGTGATGCGATCGCGATCGTATGCGGTTTTAAAAACTTTATCAGGAAATGATAGTTGATAGTTTAATAATTGTTAAAACTTATTTAATGTGTTTGTGTTATTTTATTATTTCAAAAATATCATGTAACTGAGCTTTATATAATAGATTTGAATCAAAATATGTCTGTAATGCTATAAAAAATAAGCCTAGAAGCGAACAATAGACGAATATAATAAGTAATGGCAATTAATCGCCAAATATGTGATACAAAAAGTAAAAATGCAAAGTGCATTATCACCTTCACATCATGAAATTTAGTAAGTGCGTAGATTCGGGGGCGAAAAATCGATCTAGCTAGGTTTCATTTTTAGAAAATGTCGTTTAATCCCCTATTAATCGGGCGGCCCCAAAACAGACGGCCGTGGTTCGTGTCACGATTTTTTACACACTCTTTTTTTTCGATTCCAGATCATAGCTTTCTTTATTTTTTACTTTTTGTTGATCCAGATGATTTTGTTATCTTTTTCCCTTTTTTTTTAAGTTGTTTCTTTTGTGAAAAACACCACCTTATATTTTCTTATTATTAGGTCGGTAAGATCGAAAAATATTATGCATATGTCATTACTCAGTAATTTGTATCTAAATGTAATTTCCAAAATACACGATTTACAAAAAAAATAAAACAAACTCGGTCCTCCAGGTAATATTAGTTTAGACATGCATAAATACTAAGAGCAAACATAAATTAATTCTACCCATAACTAGACTACGTATAATAAGTAATTCTTTTATGGAACAATATATTTTTATAACAAAATTTCAGAAAACGTTCACAAGGTATCAATTTCTAAATAAAAAAAAATCCAAAGGAACGTTTATGTTTTAAAGGATATTATAATATTAGCGATTTATTGTTGGCAACACTAAAAGAAGTGTAATTCTATGAGGTATAAATGTAGCTGCATGAAGCATTTCATGGTCGCCTTCATCGTGATCTTCGTCTTTCTCTGGCTGTCAACAAGAAGTATACGCGATAGTGCTGCCCAATCGGTATCAGAAATTAAATTGTTAGAGTGGTGTTTCATTAGTAACATTAAAGTGATAAAATAAGTAATTATACCAGTGTTATTGTTGTGCAAAGTGAAACTACGGTGATTTGGTAAAAGTATTTATATTTCTACCCGCTTAGGTCGATAAAACAAAGTATAGCTAACATCAGAAGCGGGATTTAACTCTTGTGTGTAATTAGTATTCGCGCCCAACGAGTGTAAAGTATAGTAATGAAAAAAAAAAAGATTGACGTAATAGAATCTTATGCATTAAAGTTTTCGTGGAATCATAGTACGATACGTTACCAGACTTTGAATAAGTTTAAAGGGTCTGCTAAGGTTTGGTATGGAAATACATGAAACTGTGGATTAAGATTGATAACTGGGGATTAAGATTGATAATGTTATCTAGGTTATAGTTTATAATTGAAGGATGTTGGCAAGGTAATATTTTAGTTAATTTTATAAGCCCATGTTAACTGTTCTTAATAACATTATAAGATCAGCTAGTGGATAACCTATGGGTGACAGTATTACTCGCCATAATCGGAGTAGTGAGCTGAAGCAGTCTACCTAAGACTAAAGGTGTGAACTGGAACAGGCGCTACCCCGGATTAAGGGAGTGAAGAGCATGTAGTGGATAACCTAGAGATGACAGTATTACTCACCAGAATAAGAGTAGTGAGCTGAAGCTGTCTCTACCTAAGACTAAAGGTGTGAACTGGAACAGGCGCTACTCCTGATTAAGGGAGTGATGAATCTCGTTAAACGTTGTCTAAGCCTAAAGACAATGTTTAGGGTTATCCGGTACAATCTATTCAATAGAGCTTTTTATTTTTGCGGGGCAGTTTACAAACTAGAGTAGTTTGTGTTACAGACGATTTATGAAAAGTTTCCTTTGGGTTTTCTCTAATAAACGTTTTCCATTAGACAGTTAGAATATCTTAAAGAGTCATAATCATAAGAATAAAGGAATCGCATGGAATTCAACGTAGTGGAATTTCTGGAAAGGATTTAAGGAAAGGAATGGCCGAGCATTACTGTATAATACAAATGTTGTAAAACAAGATGTTGTTTTCAGGGAATTTTGTCATGTTTCTTCCCGGCGACTGGTTTTGCATTGTGCCTGGGACATGCACAGTGCAGGAGGGCCGTGTTGGAAACTCTAAAGGAAGTCGTTCCTTGAAGTCGTTGGCAACACTAAAAGAAGTGTAATTCTATGAGGTATAAATGTAGCTGCATGAAGCATTTCATGGTCGCCTTCATCGTGCTCTTCGTCTTTCTCTGGCTGTCAACAAGAAGTACACGCGATAGTGCTGCCCAATCGGTATCAGAAATTAAATTGTTAGAGTGGTGTTTCATTAGTAATATTAAAGTGATAAAATAAGTAATTATCATCAGCAAAGTGAAACTACGGTGATTTGGTAAAATATTTATATTTCTACCTGCTTAGCTCGATAAAACAGAGTAAAGATAACATTATTATATGTAATTATTTATATTTCAAATGATAACCTCACATTATAAAAAAAAAGTCTTTAAAAATACTAACAGTACTGTTGCACTGAGTTTTCTGGGTGGTTATAAAAAGTAACCATTCGCTCCTGCCTTAAGGCGCTGTATGCAGTGAATTTTTAACTATTTGGGTGGTGAAGTATGAGGAAGCGGAGGAGGGGTAACGCCGCTTAGCGCCGCGCAGCGCGCGTATTTCGTTGACGCGCCGCTAGACCAAGTCATTCTTTACCTAGTGTGTGTGTAGTGATGGGCCGTAGGATACTATCGATAGTATCATGGAAGGCTTTCGAAAATGTACACAGATGATCCCTATAATATCTTTTATAGACCATGATTGTATTTTACTTTTATATTATAATAGGAATAATAATAAACAAACAAATATAAAGTAAGAGAAAGCAATCAACAATTTTAGAATCTTCTTCCTGATTATTATTATTTTTTTTATTAAATGGAAAAGGAATTGATTAAAAATACATCTTAAAGTCAAATAAAGGTAAATTACTTATAATTATTATTTTTTGTTTTCATGGTTTATATTGTTATTTTAAAAAAATGGCTCATAAAATTTTTGCAGAAATTACGAATATATATTTTTTATTACATTTTTTCATATATTAGGAATTTTAATTTATCCTTTAAATGTTCAAGATTTACTATGTTATATAACTTTCTCAACTAAAATGAAATTTAAAAACCTATCGATAAAATCCTTATTTGTATCGATAAACGACAGCAATAACAAGAATCGAAATTTTGTCACTTTCCACAGACCTCGCGTAGCCTGTTGGTCCGAGCGTTATACACACCGGTAAACTATTGCTGTAGGTGTAGTCTCAAGTTCAAACCCTCATCGAGTGGAGTTGTATATTTATATTATTTTCACTTTTAATTTGTTAGCCAACAATTTATTTTGCTTTTATTTTATAAAATGGCTCAATTTGGGAAATAAACAAATTAATAAGATAAATTATATTTTCGTATATATTTTCGTTTTAGGGTGAAAAATTAAATATTTTAATAAAAAAATAGATGACGTTAAAAAATTTTAATACTAAAAGTTGGTTTATTTACTGATGGATTGTTCTCCAACTGTTTCAACTTTGAACAAATACAATAATATTTCGTTGTAATTATATATGAAAAAAAAATGAACAAAAATTAAATGGTAATTAAGATATATTTCCAAATAAGAAAATCAACAATAAGTACAAAAAAAATTTAGGGATTTGAACCCAATCCATAAAGAATGATGGTCCTATATACACTGTATTTATAGGACTGATAGACCAATCACGAGATAAGACATTGAAATTACGCTTTAAATAAATTATTTAACAACTGTTAATACATACAAATAATTTATAAATACGAAATATGTATTTTTTAGATTCGTGTTTTGGAAGGTCTAATAATACTAAAACTGTCAATAATAAATAAATACGAAACAAATTTCGTAACGGTGAGCGGGCGATGAGCGACATAGGTCCATCTAGCAAGACGCCTCAGCGTTAGAAGAGAACCGAAACAACGCCGCGGTGGCGCGGTGTTTTGGCCATCGCGTTCGAATTAATTTTAATGAATTAAATTAATATTTACAAATATCTTACATCAATCAACAAATTAAAACAACAATCCTTTTTATTAATATATTCTACACCACTGATATTAATTTCATTAAGATTTGTTGATGTATTACGTTCATTTTTGGATTTGAATTTCTCTTTTATAGAGGTAGTTTCATGATTTTTTTCTATCGAGAAAAAATGTCGAGAATATGTTTAGGAAACAATGTGCCCTTAGAATGTACGATCAAGATTAACATATTTTTTTTTGCTGCTATAAAATGTGTAGATTTTGCTAAAATATCTTTTGAAAAACCTATTTTTACTGCATACAGCGCCTTAAACTTCTAACCTAATCTATCCGAGTCGGATCGTTGTGTATCGGATCTGTCACTCTTTAAATTTAAAAGATAATTAATCGTCGCCTAGTTGGACTTTTATCACGTTGGCAGTATTGTGTTTTCAGTTTTTAAAGTCAAATTAGTAAAATGGCGAACTTTCTTAGTGAAATTAACGTTTTAATTCTTTTTTTCTCGAAAACTGTAAGCGACTGCTGAATTCCGCTTGTTGATTATTTCGTTAATGATGTTTCTTTACCCAATAATAAATGTGTTTGGTCCAAAAAACGCTCGGACGCTAATGGAAAAAATACCAAAAAATGTCCCGCTGAGTTTCTTTCGCAGTTTCTTCTCAGGTCAGTGATTTTTCACTTCCGAACCAGTGCGTGGTAGCGTTTTGACTATCAATACAAAAGTGTAATGCTTCTACATTGAATAAAGACATTTGAATTTGAGTAAGAGAGTACAGAGACAGCTTATGAATAAGCTTTTGTTTAACTAAAAAAAACCAAAGAGAGCCCTGCCATCAGTAGAAAAACGCACTACAGATGAAAAGAAGGAAAACTTCGAACAGAAATACGAATTTCCGGTTAGTTCAAATTGTAATGTAAGCAGGTGTCTCTGGTAAGGTGTTGAGTTGATATAGTGATGTTGAGGTTTGAATGTATATATATATATATATATATATATATATTATACCTAATTGATAGGTAACTAACGACCCGCCCCGGCTTCGCACGGGTGCAACTTATTATACATATAAACCATCCTCTTGACTCACTCTATCTAATTAAAAAAAAATCGCATCAAGATCCGTTGCATAGTTTTAAAGATCGCATGCATGGGGACAGACAGACAGGACGACTTTGTTTTATACTATGTAGTAACTAGCGGGCCGCCCCGGCTTCGCACGGGTGCAATGTTGAATGTTTGTTTTTGACATCACATTAGAAACCTCTAAAATTATCAGTGTGTTTGTACTATATTATGCATGAATTATACAAATATAAACCTGCGGTAGTCACTCATAAATGCATCGTATATTTTTGAAAAGACCTTGTGTGCGTTTTGGTTATGAATGATCGCGCGTAAAATAAATAAGTTGCCCATAAATCACGCACATTTTGAGATAAGTTCAAAGGAATGTAACTAATTAATTACAGTAATTTTAAATATTTATCATTTTTTTATATAACATTATTTATGACTAGAATTTAATTAAAAAAGTGGATACACTTAGAAAAGCCTCCCTGTATAGGAACTGACAGACAGCGGAGCGATTTTGTTTTATACTATGTAGTGATAAAAACTCTTTAAATTATTTGATTTATTTTCCAATTAAATTTTTTTAAATTATTTGATTTATTTTCCAATTAAATTTTTTGTTTTTTATTAAGGATAACAATATTAATTGTATATTTGTATCCTTAGAGTTAATTAATAAGTAAGTCATAAAGTAGTAAGTAACACATAAATAAGTAAGTAAGTCATTCATAAATGCGTCGTATACCGAACTTGTGTGTGTGTTAGTTATAAATGATTTTAGATCTGCAACTACTTACTAAACTGTAATCCATTCCTGGAGCTAGTGACTGCGTAAATCATCGGAGACTGGAGCCTATTTTGTACTATGGCTTTGCAGTTTGTCACCCAAGCTGCTGTGATTATCGTGTTGTTAACGACATCGGCAGGAACAAGGTCTATTCTTACATTCAGATCCATAAGTGTGACATGCATGAGTCCTAAGCCCAAACCTAAAATTAACTGAACATAAAAGTAACACATTAAATTAAGTGTACCAAATAGATTATTTTATTTCATTCTTATACAAATTACCTACACAATGTAGGTTTTAAAAATTTACCACAGGACACATTTGTTCATATATACATATACATAGAGGAGGGGGTGGTAATTTGGAACCCCACTTTGTTTTTTGAGTATTTTAAGAAAACTATTTGACTAATCATCACAAAACTGTCTCTTTATATTTAAAGACTTATTAACTTTTATATTTGAAACTAATTTATAAAATAAAATCACTCATTATAGGAAAAAAATTGCTTTCTTGGAAAAAATAAAAAAATGTGTTCAAAGATCTGGTGCTGGTATTATGGAACCCGGGTTCCAAATAACAAGAATGAAATAAATTTACATACAAAAATCACAAATATAAAACTCCGCGTCGAATCCTAAACATTCAATATGTGCCCACAACCTACATGATTAGCACTGAATCCAAATTTCATCCTGTTGATAGTTGGAGTAATTTTCAGAGCAAAAAATGCAACAAGCGTCATCTTGATTTGCGGGCGGGGCATGCGTGGTAACATTTTCTGACATTACAGTGTCACCTGAAGAAACAGAAGATTCCAAAGAGTTCGAATCCTCGCTGTTTAGAGGAGTTCTAGAAGACTTTGCAACACTACCCACCACTACGCCCACGAGCGCCTACCCTAACTCTTCCCGGACCTCTTCCCCGACTTCTTCCTCTCTGCTATAGATTTGATTGACTACTCAAGTTGCTGTTTGTACGGAAATCCGGTCAATAAAGTAATGCCTGCACCTATCGGGTTCCAAAATTAAAACCTTACTTTGTTACGAAATAATCAAAAAAACAAAAACTAGTTCAAGTAAATCTTAAAACTTACCTCTGACAATGTTAACTTATGCGTATATATTTCGTGTAACACATACCGTATTTACTTTTAGACAAAACAAAAGTTGTGACGGTAGTAGGAAATAAAAGTAAAAAAAAATTGCAGGTGACACAAAATTCCAACTTATAACAGGTCCAAACTCGATGCAAAAATGACACCACTGGAGCTAATACGTTCAATAGGTTTTCAACATATTTCGTTGCCTGTTCCTAGGATATTAACGGGTTACCACCTCTTCCCTATACACATATATATATATATATATACAGCGTGTCGTTACCATCGCGACAATAAATGAACACAAATATAGGGGATAACTTTTTAAAGTTGTATTAAACATTTAAATTCTTTAAACATCAATATTTACAGAGTTATTAAATTTTCCAAAACAAAGAATTTTAGAACATCCTCACTTATAAAAGCGTAACGTAAAGTTCATTTGTAAAGGTCACAAAGCATATGAATGGGTTGAATGAATTTAAAAGAGACGAAACATAGTGTTAGAAGGAGAGGCTTGTAATACGACGCTGTGGCGCGAGTTGTATAGGATGTTACAAATTTTGTTTCTTTTTTACTTAATTAGTTTGTTTGAAAAATATTTTTTTTAAATTATGGATTTTGTTTAACGTAAATATTTTTTTATGATTATTGGCACGTAGCGTTAGACGTGTGTTCATTTATTGTCGCGATGGTAACGACACGCTGTATATATATATATATATATATTATATTTGAATTATTTAGATATACACTAGATAATAACAATTTTTATTTTTATTAATCGTATTTATTTACATACCCCACTCGGACCAAAGGCACAGCTGATGTCAACCCAGCCTGGGACTGGGTCCCCATATGTGCACGTTACTATAAAAAAATTGGATAAGTTTATATTTAATATTTAAATCTCGAACATATATTATCTTAAAATATATAATTCTTTTGTACTTGTGTATGTAACTGAACTACGTTTAGGAGAAACGGCTGGACTGATTTTAATGAGATTTTTTGACTCTTCAGGTCGATTCAAGAATAATAAAAAACCTTTATTCACATAGACGCTTGCGCGTTCTAATGAATCGTCGAAATTTTACAAGGAAATTAATACGTTTGTAAGTTACCACCGGTTCGGAAAGCAGTTTCTGTTGAGAAGAAACCGGCAAGAAACTCAACAGTTGCCCTTTTTTAAAAGGTCAGTTTACAATATAATGTTACAGGTATAATAGTCTTGTTTTAGCCTACGTGAGTATCAACAGTATTAACCCCACACATTGGCGTCATCAAGATATTCAGCAATAGTATAATATGCTTTAGCCATAAGTTTACTTTTAACTTTTCGATTAAATTCATCAAGTGGCAGACTTAATATCGACTGTGGGATTTTATTATACATGCGCACACTTTGCCCCATGAACGACCTGTTTACTTTTTGTTGACGAAACAACGGCGTAGTTAGTTTGTCCTTATTTCTAGTATTTAGTTAATGTCTGTCACTATTCTTTAGATAATTATTAATATTATGTTTAACATACAAAATATTACAATAAATATATTGAGACTCTTAGGAAGAATAAATATAGAATTTATATCAGATGTACTACCCTACAACAAAATGCCGTACGACAAGATGCTGTGAAAATAACTGAAATAAACAAGTCTGGCAGTGTCGATGTCTGATAGCTGCCTAACCTTCCTAATTGCAAAAACAGCGGAGCTTAACCTATTCGCAAGAGACGATAGATGGGGACTCCATTGAAGCTTTGAAGCCACTGTAATTCCCAAGAATACAGCGAACTCAACAGGATTAAGGGTTACGCTATTTAATGTTAAATTAAAACTTTGCCTTCTTACGCTGGGAAGGGTAAAAAGAAGGCATATAGTTTTTTTTAGCATTTAACACCATATTATTAACGGTAAACCAGTGGAGGATACGCGAAAGTGCACTATTCACGTCGTCATAATTCAACACGTTTCGGTCAACCTTAAAAATGAGCGATGTGTCAGCAAACAGTACAACATCACATAACTCATTGGCATAAAAAGACTAAGAATAATAATGGGCCCAAGATTGATCCTTGTGGGACACCTATTTTCATGGGGGACCCTGCGGAATTTACGTCATTTATAGATACTTTTTGAATTCTATTACTAAGGTAATAGGCATTGACGACCCGCCTCCGGCGCCAGAGGGTGTGGGTTCGATCCCCACTACTGGAAAAATATTGTGTGATGAACATGGTGTTTTTCTAGTGTCTGGGTGTTTCTATATGAATAATATGTATTTATTTACAAAAGAAAAGTATGTTTATCAGTTTTCTAGTACCCATAGTACAAGCTTTGCTTAGTTTGGGACTAGAAAATGTTGTGTACAAATGTGTCTTAAAATATTTATTTATTTATTATTTATTTATTTAATGAGATTGAGGGCGATGTCACGAATGCCATAATAATCTAGCTTTTGAAGGAGGGTTTCGTGTTCTACGCAGTCGATGCCTTTGAAAGACCTTTCTTGTGACCTTTCCCAGGCGTTATAAATATGTTTGATAAGTGCGACACCCGCATCTGTTGTCAATCTGCCTTTAGTGAATCCATATTGCTTATTGTGGAAAATTTTGTTTATATTAAAATGTACTAAGATTTGATTTAAAATTAGTTTTTCAAAAATTTTACTCAGAGAATAGTTTAGATTCACAATTCGGTCCACTACATTTTTTATATTTTTTATATTTAAGCAAATATATGTAAATATAGGAAGCAAATAAATTTGTTTGCTATTAATCTTCTTTAATTCATACTAACCAATTGCTGGTCTAACTACGCAAATGGGAAGGTCCGTGCTGTTATTGAGAACGATTTCTTCCGCAATGGCTTTAGAAAATGTGTAAGTGTTTGGCCAACCACTAGTCAACCTGAAATTGTAAATTCATATTAATTGATTTATTCCTATTTATTTACAATTACTTTAAATTAAATAGTTAAAGTAAAGAGATAAAATAGTTATAGAGATATTTAATGCATTTAGGCATTAAGTCCGCAAGATTTGCTGTAATAAACAAAATATGTTAACCACTCTAAATTGTTAAGGTGTGGCTTGTACAGGCTCTAGTAAGAACAAAATAAATAAATAAATAAATATTTTAGGACACATTCTTTTTACACAACGTTTCTAGTCCCAAACTAAGCAATGCTTGTACTATGGGTACTAGAAAACTGTTAGACATACTTAACCATACTTTTCTTTTGTAAATAAATACACATTATACATATAAAAACACCCAGACACTAGAAAAACACTATGCTCATTTCATAATATTTTTCCAGTAGTGGGGATCGAACCCACACCCTCTGGCGCAGAAGGCAAGTACACTACCGACTACGCCATTCGGGTCGTCTTATAAATCGAAGGTCGAATATCTTCAAATATACCTAACAAACATGATAATTAAAATTTGTAGAAGAAACGGAAGATAAGTTTTTCGCCGCTGCGGAAATCGTACATACTTCTTCCGGAATCACGCCCAGACGCTTTAACTCAAACGACTGAAATTTTAGTGAGTCCGACCGAATCTTTCGGTTTCGGTCGAAAAAAAAAACTAGTTTCGGTTTAGTTTCGGTTTAGTTTCGATTTAGTTTCGATTTCGGCGCCAAACCTGCGGAAACTACCACCGAAACGGAAACTGCATTCGAGAGTTCTCGCTATTTATGATCAGCGCGTTAAATCCCATCCATGCAAGCAAGCGACGCAGACTAGCGGTGGGTCGTTGAAGGTTTTTACGACAACGTTGATTCATGTTCGTCATAGTTAAATTCATGAACTAGCCAATGTGATGCTGTCAATTTGGATTAACCTATTTTATTTGACGCTGCGACGTTAAACGAGTCTAAATCGTCTGAAAGCTGACTAATTAATAAAAACACTTTATACAATTAAAAATTAATAAATGTAAAAAAAAAAACAAACAAAAAAAGACACCTTAAGCATCAAGTGAAATTCGTATAATATTTATGATAATCCGCAAAATAATCTCTGACCTTACGTGCAACTGTTCACAAATTGTCACACAAAAATTTAAGAAGCGAAACTTCTATTTATCTATCTTTTAGAAAAGTGGCTCTGAAATTACTCTCGGTTTTTGTTTACTGAAAGTCTTAAATATTTAGTCTTTGTTCCTAAAAGTGATTTATTTTGTTTTATTTATTACTTAAATATTTAGTCTGTAACAATTTAAATAGGTAATTTATTTTTTTTAGATAGATTTAATTTATTTTTTATAGATATTTATTTTTCCCTCAAAACATGATCCTTTTATAGAAGTTTCGGTTTCGACTGAAACTGAGGGTTTCCGTTTCGGTCGTAAAAACCAATTTCGGTCAGACACTAATTTTAAGCAATACTTGGCGCATCTATGTCCTTTACAGCACACAGACTGTATTAAGTTTTTATCTAATCTCTGCACTTAAGGTGATTGCTCTGCTGCATCTATCTGCATTAAAATTTGTAGAAAGATCTTTTCATGTATGAACTTAAATGCAGAGATTATCTCTATAGTAACTTATTTAATATAAAAATTAAAAACAAAAAACATTGATTGAGAAACAAGCATAAAGATCACAGATCAAAAATTCGTACAGTAAGTTTGAGACTAATAAACTTCACGGCTGACTTTACGTCCACTGGAAAAAAGGTTTCTGAAGGTAAAATAATAAGTGCTTATAAAGGACCAAGATTCACTTGATGTTCAGTTCATACCGCCGCCCATGGACATCTGCTACACCCGAGGGTTCCAGATGCATTGACAACCTTTTGAAAATTGGGCTGCGGCCACCTCACTCACAAGACGAAACAAGAAAGTATTATACTTCCACTTTACGCCAGTCTTCTGTGAGGTCGTGGTACTTACCCGGACGAGCCTGACCATTTGCAACAGCCGAGGCTGCTGCGTGGCCCTACCACCAGATTCGTGGTACGATGACTATATAAACGACTTACGTAGGTGTCATTGCGTTTAATTTCTCGACGGGTAATGTTTCTGCCAGTTTGATGATAGCGTCGGGTGGCGCTGGGGACTCATAGAATCTTTCCGACACTGTGCCATTGATTCGATCTCGTGTCGCGTGTGAGTACGCTGTCGACACGTACACGAATGCACGTAACTGTGTACAATCGGCTGCCAGCCGAAGTGCCTCTCGTGTGCCTCTCGTGTTGCTTAGCAACGCAGCCTTCAACTCTACATCAAACCGCACATTTGCAGCCATGTGAAATATCACATTTACCTGTTCGTAAATATAAATGGTTTGTTACGTACACCTACATTCATGAGATTAAGTTCATTTACCCGGTATTTAGATGTGTATGTATGTAAGTAGATACACACCTATCATATCATTTTATGTTTGTATGTACCTATGCATGTTTTAGGTACAGTAAAACCCGTTAAGACGATTTTACAAGGACTCAACCAAAAATCTTAAATCTAAAGAAATGAAACGGAATACCCTTTGCGGGATAGGGAAAATAAAACGTACTATTACATATTATGTATTATGTTTTAATTTCGTGAATGCAGATATTTAATTATGTATTTAAAAATTACGTTAAATACGTAGTGTAATTATAATTACGTTATTTAAAATAATCGCTTATTTAGGTTTGACAAACTTTGATGCATTTAAGATACAAGATTGCGTTTAAAATGTCTCACGATTCATAATTTTGCAACATCTCGGGAAGTGTTGCCATCCATGTATCAACATCTTGTTGTGCCACTATATCCGATTCTCCGCCGATTTGATGGTACACAGGGCCGGATTTATTAATTTTTCTTTAATTTCTTCAGTCAAATGACCGCTACTTGGCCTGTGTTAGCGTATTAAATGGGATGACGAATCGTATTAAGCGGTAAGAAATATATGAAAACATGTCTCAAATATCAGGGACTGGCGTAAAATGGCGTACTATGCGAGAAATGACGAGCTTACCCATTAGTGCAACAGTCCTGTTTATGGGTGGGTTTATATCGTAACATTTTAATTTTAATAAAATGTACTAAGTCACCTCTTTCCTCAATATTTCCCAATCATAGTCGTCTATTCCTAATTTGATTTCACTGATATCTCCTTGTACTGCATAAATGTTTTCTTCCCAATCCACTCTCAGCTTCCGCAATTCGTCGAATAACTGAAATTATTTTTAATGATTATACATCGGTTTATACAGAAAATGACATTGTTTTTAGCAGTTACATTTTTTAATTTCAGTACTTGGACTCACCGGATCTTTTAATGCTTGATGCAATCTTTCTTGTGAACCTTTGTCTTTTTTTTCTCTTATTAAAACGTAAATTTTACTTGGAGCACACGTCCTGAAAGTTTTAGAAAATATTATAACGAATAGAACAATTTCAACAAAAACACATCCTATAGGACATTTTTTTGGTTAAATATTATTCATTTAGCTATTTTACGTATTTCATAAAGGTGATATAAGTAAAGCTCTACCTTAGTAACTTCTCTATCAAAAGTTTTCCCAGGAAACCGGTGCCTCCTGTCAAAAACACAACGCTGCCTTCGTAGAACTTTTGAACAGGCGTGTCACCCATTGCGGTGCCCCCTATTATTGCCTGCTGGGAGAATATGGCCTGCTCCGTTACAAAGGCGGGATTTTTTTCATTGTTAAATTAAAACATATTTATATATTTAATTCCCTTCAGTTAAATACAGCATGGATGTAGCTACAGCGTGGTTAATTTCTTAGGGTAGATAATGACCACGATGCATTCACTAACAAAATTCCCACTGAGCCGTAAGTTAAAAACTTGATCCTGTCATATAGCGATTTAAACCACCCTCTATATCCTGAACGAACGAATAATTTGCAATGAAGTGCGAGTGTAACTAAAGCTTTTGCTGTCAGAGTCGAGACTGCCCGTTCATAGTGTCGCTATTTGTGGTCAAATAGATGACGCGACTACAGAACGACTTCTCATAGAGATTGGCTTCGAACATACGATCATTTGATATAGGAAGAACGATTTGAAAGATAATACAGGAGTAAGTATAGATTCACGGACTAGAAAAATAACGGGACTTCGCGTCACGCATATTGAAAGTGAAGAAGTGTCGGACCATTTGTACATATTATATGCCTCATTTACACATTTACTTCATATTAAGCTGACCGTCCTCCACTACGCGCACGACGGCGTCTATGCAGGTACTGTTTACTTCAAGTATTAAAAATAAAAAAAATATAAATGATATTATGTTGTCATAAGAAATGTTATAAAAATAATAATACATAAAGTGTCAAGGAATACCATTTTAAATGATTTATTTATTATATTTTTAATAGTTTATCACTATAGTAACATAAAATCTAAAGTAATGTAAATTTTGTGAGGAAGTAAGTGTTGTTATTTCATAGTATGTGTAAGTAATGATGATGATTGCAGATGCAGCTTTATATCATTATTATAGCTTTCATGCAGCAATTTAACCATGGAAAAATAATTAGATAGAAATTATAAGAAACTGCATGGGTAAACACCATTGGATTCAATCCAAAAACAAGCGTGATAATGTAGTATATACATTTTGATGAAAACTTATAAAAAAATTATGCACCCCAAAAAATTGACACCGTCAAGCCTGCCCATTCTTGCAACAGCCGAAGCTGCTCGGTGGCTCTACCATAGTAGAAATTATAATCTTCCTTTTTGGTTCGTGGTAAAATTCAAGGCTTTTGAATCATATTTTTCTAAGTGTTTCTTGGATCAATTTGAAAGCCGTGTTAGTGAGTATTTGTTATTAGCTGTGAAGATTGTGATCAAATAATTTGAGTAAATGTTTGGAGTTTCATTTTCTACTAGCGGCGCCTGTGGTTTCACAGCCGTAGTGATGAAAAATGGTGACGATATTAATTATGAGAAATAGCATTTGTCCTATATCACGATAACAGTCAAATTTACACTAAATTTCATTGAAATTGAGTCAACCGCTTTTCTGCGACAAGCAGACATCCACATAGAGTCACTTTAGAAAATACAATAAATAAAGTAGTGATAGAAGGCAAAATTTTCATTTCAATTAAATAGTGTCAGTGAATTCCGGTACCATTTTATTAAAAAAAATTATAAATTGGCAAAATATAAAAATAAAATGGGAAATTTTCATTCATTTGATATCCCTCAAATCTAAATAAGTTGCCTGAATAAAAGTCCTGTAATTTTTCTAGTTCATTCTTGTATAGAGCTTACTAACCTCATTCCCATTTGTCGCTAAGAGAAGAAATAGATATTATAATTAATAAATAGTTTAATGGATAATTATTTACAAACCGCCAATCAATGTTATAGAGTTATAAATAACTTACGAGCCTATAAATGTTACCACCACAAGTGTACAATTGCTTTAATTATGAAAATTGCCACACCACACCTCGCCCTAATCAATTTTACTACTGAAATTAAACTTTGATTTGAACTTGGACATGTACGAAAATCTATTTAAATAGTACCAAATAACTACCTAAACAATAGTTTGCCGATTTAAATACATCAATATATATTAATTTATGTCTATTGACGGTCTCTGTCATATGTATTTATGTTAATCAGTATTTAAATTATATAATCAAAGTTAAAATACGCTAATATTAAAGTTTACATGTACTATTACGAATAGTGTATTGTTAATATTATAAATGCGAAAGTATTTTTGATTGTCCTCCCTTTACATCGTAACGAAGCGTTATGATGGTATTATGATTTTTGTTTGTGGAGATAGCAGGCTGGAGACACTTACATAGGCTACTTTTTACCGCGGTGAAATACAGTCTAAATTAAAGAATATTTAACGCCACATAAAATAATATACAAAATCATTATTTCTCATAATTGTATAAAAAACTGAAAATGTAAAATAATTGTTATTTTTGAATTTATTCCAAAATTAGTTTAGTTTTGAAATAAAAAAGTTATCATGTTGACCCCCGAAGAATTTACCAGGAACCTGACAATGCTTGAAGATGGGCGCAGTCAGCGAAATACAGCGAGAACTGTTGGACTCTACAGTTCAGCAAGTACTCCAGCGTTTCCATGAAACTGGACCCAACTTCGAAGACCAGGAACAGACCGAACTAGGCGAGTTTGTGGCGTTAGCGGCTATGTGGTGTCAACAATTTTGAGAAATCGCTTTCTTACGGCTGTTGAAGTAAAGAATCATCATTTACGAGCTGGAAAAATCTATCTGAGTACGGATACAGTAAGGCGGCGTCTGGCTAAAGCAAACTCAAAGCCATTAAGACCTGCAAAAGGCAGGCTGTCTATCGCTCGTGTCCACGTGAGTCGCTCTACGGCATCTATTTAAGCCAGGGGTAAGCAACCTTTTTAATCAATGGGCCAATTTAAATTTCAAATTTTTTTGGCGGGCCGCACATAATTTACGAAACTTTACTATATATATATATATATATAAAACTTTACTATATACATATAAATATAAAATTAAAAAAGTAAAGATTTCATTTTTTTCTCAGATCAAATTTTAATGCAAGGTAAAACAAACAAGAAAAGAACAGAAAAACGAACAAAACATATTTCGGTTCGGTATATACTACCATTTTATTATAATTAATATTATAACAATATATTGATGGGAGAAATTCGATAAAATAAATTCAATTTTAGAAATGCTTGGCGGGCCGCTTGCGGCCCCTTAAACATGTTTGTTTAAGGGGCCGCAAGCGGCCCGGGGGCCGCGCGTTGCTCATCCTTGATTTAAGCAAATAAACGTTTTAACGCTCCCGTCGCTTTACATACTCGAGAACATCATGAAGGTACGTAATAATATCCACTTATTTACAAAAAAACATTCTACATCGCATCGGGTTAGACTGGCTAAAACTAGAAAGTCGTTTCTTGGTAGATGCATTACATTTTATAATAACATAGGTGACATCCAAAAACAAGTAAATATAAACAATTTGTAAAAGCTACCCTAATGGCAAGGGCCTATTATAATGTCCAAGAATACATTGAGGACAAAGTTGTGTGAAATTACTCTTGCTCTGCACTTGCAAGACCTGAAGCTGCTGCTGATTTTATACCTAAATAAGTTTGTACAATTGCATCACAAAAAAATAACAAAAAAAAGAACAGTACCGCAGAGTTTCTTGCGGTTCTTCTCTGTTCAAGTCTAGTTTAGTGAACCGGTGGTAGTTTTTTTTTACGTTCAATAAGCATTGAAATTAATAAAGCTTTGGTGCATTTACTCTAATTAATATACGAAAAAATAACACCTAAAATAATTTCAATATTAATTGAGTCGTGGCATCGCAATACATTAAAACTATAACTAATTCTTTTTTAATTTTATCTAATGTGATTCCCCTACAGGTATCACACTTTCTCAAATTTAATTTTACAAGATATATTTAAGAAATTTTCGTGTTGTGAAGTGAGTTCGATCCTCATCCATGAAAATAAATGTGTAACCCATGAATATTAATTCCAACTGTGACGTAGTTTATACGATTTCGTCATTCAGTAACCTCTCGCAACCTAAGAATAATTAATTAGTCCGGAAGTCGTTACAGAACGTTATGTACACAACGGTGCAATTAGCGGAACGTTCAAAAAAAGGCAGAGTATATCTTATCCTTTATCTCTTATCCTTTAAACGAGTAATTCTTGTATATATATATATTTAACGGCTCCTGCGATTTTCATGAAATTTTGTATGTTCGTAGATTCGGGAGCGAAATCGATCTGACTACGTTTCATTTTTAGAAAATGTCCTTTTATCCCTGATTTCAGGGAATGAAAAATATCATTCGAATACGACGGTAAATTTCGCCGAAAAAAAAAGCTCGGTCGGTAATCGGGCGGCCGCTAACAAATAGCCACGAAACAGAACGCCGAGGTTCGTATCACGATCATTTACATACTTATTTTTTTACTTTTTTTCGATTCCAGATCATTGCTTTCTTAATCTGTTATTTTTTGTCGATTTGTTATATTTTTCCCTTTTTTTTAAAGTTCTTTCTTTTGTGAAAAACAAACAAATAATTTGTATCTAAATGTAATTTCCAAAATACACGATTTACCAAAAAAAAAACAAACCGAGCAAAGCCCGGTTCCTACGTTATAATACTCTGCCTTTTTTATATATATTTTTATATACAGCGTGTCGTTACCATCGCGACAATAAATGAACACACATATAGGGGATAACTTTTTAAAGTTGTATTAAACATTTAAATTCTTTCAACATCAATATTTACAGAGTTATTAAATTTTCCAAAACAAAGAATTTTAGAACACCCTTACCTATAAAAGCGTAACGTAAAGTTCATTTGTAAAGGTCAGAAATCATATGAATGGGTTGAATGAATTTAAAAGAGACAAAACATACTGTTAGAAGGAGAGGCTTGTAATACGACGCTGTGCGCGAGTTACAAATTTTGTTTCTTTTTATTTAATTAGTTTGTTTGAATAATATTTTTTTAATTATGGATTTTGTTTAACGTTACTATTTTTTATGATTATTGGCAAGTAGCGATAGACGTGTGTTCATTTATTGTCGCGGTGGTAACGACACGCTGTATATAATAACGTGTACTCGTAAAAACGTAAAGTAACAGCCTATACATATCCAGTCCCCAGCAGTGGCTGCGCAAAGGTCTCTTCTTTTACACAGGGTATCAGGGCATCATCCATTACGCAGCCCCACTGCGGAATGGCGAACTTCACATAACTTCTTAATTTATTTTGTTATTATTTCGAAAATTAAGTATTACCGGGAAACAGAAACAATCAATTAAAAAAATTAACGTCGCCACAAGTTCCATTTTAAAATTAGAGTTATTTTATTATAACTGAAGCAAAAATTTTGTACCCCTTTTTACAAAAATTGCGCGGATGGAGGAGTATGAAAAAGGAGTGCAGAATACTATTTTTTTTTAATTATGCATAAAATATACATCAAATCAATAAAAAGTATTACATACACTACGATGCATAATTAATTATGGTTGAATTTCGACCATAGGGCGGTCAGTCTTTGGCTGACGAGTCTTATGAAATATTATGGAAAATAATGCTTTTGTGTTCCGTTAGATTTTTTTAATATGTTTTCTTTAAATAAGTTCCATTTCTAGTCATATATGTACACTACTCTATATTTGTGCATAATGTTAAGAACTAAAAAGTTATCGATTTTTAATTCAAAACAGACTTCGATTTTTCATAGTACGCCTGTATGATTATTTATTTATTTATTTGTGTATAGTAGTGTTGTCTATATGTGTCTATATCTAATATATAAAATTCTCGTGTCATGTTGTAATTGAACTCCTCCGAAACGGCTCGACCGATTTTCGTGAAATTTTGTGTGCATATCGGCCAAGGTGGAAAATCGGACAATATCTATTTTTCAACCCCCAAAATGTAGGGTGGTCCACCCCAAATATTTCTTTCTACTCTACAAATAATTTATATGGCAAAACAACTTTGCCGGGTCAGCTAGTTACCTATATTTACAGTAGCGTATACCTCCCCAACAAACCCTTCTCACTGATCAATATATCCTCAGTAACATGGTTGCCTGGAAGAAATCGTTTCTAAACGATAAGGCCGCCAATTGTACCTTTATGTAATTGTTTGTAACTTTTTTAATTTTGTCTGGTGTACAATAAAGCGTATTTTATTCATTCATTCATTATGATGAGACCAGGTGATGTCATTTTGTTGGATAAATAATTACAGATAATATATCCCAAGGAACTATATCCGATAGTATGAAATTCATTCTGTGCATATAAAATTATTGTCAAAATTACCTATCCTACCTTCAATCCTAGCTTGAAATAATTATGGTAGCATATTAGTGGCCAAAAGACATGATCGAAAACCAGCAAAGTAGGAAGCCAAATCGTCATTAGCCGAAAAAAATTAAACGTCAAAATTTAAGAATTACCTTTTGATTGCGGATTTCATGAAATATTTTAGTTTGTAATACAAACTGTCTAAAAACATAACGTAGATTTTAAAAACAATAAAATATTAAGTCTATTAAGGTAAGGAGATAAGGTGATATTATAAAAGTGACTGTACCATATTTTCGCTATGGTTATTATCTTAAAATTATTTTCGTTGTATATCGATACTGCTGAGTAATTTTGTGTACCATCTAATAATCGCTTTATCCCGCTGTTGTCACGCTGCCAAATTCGTTGCGTACTGGATGGCGCAGCATTGTCCTGATGGACGTTGTAACAATCTTAATTTTGCGATGTATCATCTTCAAAATCTTGATTGGCGGTGTCTTCAATCTAAATATCTGATCTTAGTGCCATTTTACACTGTTCAAGCTTTTCGTTGGATCCTCACCATAAAGTGACTAGCGATTTTGAAAGTTTTCGATCTATAGAGAACACTGTTTGCCAAATACCAATTGTATGTGTAAAAAAGATATACATCAATAGAGTAACATTTTTTTAAATATTAAATCATACCATAACAATGAATGAATTTTCTTTTCTTTTTAAAGTAATTTTGTTGAAAATATAGTGTTTTTCCTGTTTTTTTACTTCATTATCAGTTTTTCAGGTACATGAGGTGAGGTGCTAATGATGTCATTAAAACCAAGAAATGTGGACTTTCAGGAGACATGGGCTAGCCTAAAAGAGACGGTTTGTATTTGATACATCTGAATATGAGATTTTTTAAATTTTATTCAAACAGTGCCATATAATATGACTATTATTTTGTTAATAGGTAGCAGGGGTTGTGGCATTACGGGCCGTAGAGCGTGCCGTGTGGAACATGCGTTTTTCTGATGTATATGCACTGTGTGTGGCACATCCTGAGCCTCTTGCAGACCGCCTATATGATGAAACAAGGTAATTTTATTTTGCTGTATGTGATAGTTAACATATTCCTTTTAAAAGATTACATTGTTTATGATATCTAAAATTATATATTAAACAGTAAAGTCAGCCTTTTCATACAATATTCTTTTATTTTAAACTAGCTGACCCAGCAAACATTTTTTTGCCATATAAATTACTTCTAGATACTTAATGACAAACATCTGGACATACATCATTATATTACATCTTCATCATCACATACATCTTTATCATCTCTTAAAATTATCATATATATTTTTGAAAGTTTGGAAACTAATATAAAGATTTTACAAATTTCAGAAAGTTCTTGGAAGAGCATGTATCGGGACTTTTACAAAGAGTTCGAGGTAATTCACCTCTAGAAAGCAGTGACTTTAATGATGGATTGCTTACTAGGTAAAGAACAATAATTGATTCTTCTTACTACTACTACAAATAATAATTAAAAGACAGATCAATGAAAACATGATACTAAATAATAATATACCTACACGGTCATTTCTGTCTTAATTGACAGAAAGAATGTCAAATGAAAATAGGGTGACATACACTTTTAAGCAAGTTGAAACTGGTATTAGTATTTTGGTTGAAACTGCTATGTCATGCAGAGTTAATATAATTTCAACTAAGCTTGGTTTAATATGTTGAAATATGCATATAATAACTGTGTTTGAGAATTAACAGTGCTCATTGAAAACCACCAAAAAAGAAAAGAAGAAGAAGAAGAACTGGTATTATAACTATTAAGATTAGATGCGATGGGTTAGGCTGTCACAAGACCATGAATGCTACAGGGTTTTTACAATATCAGGGATTAAAATATTATTCAAATACTAAAAGCACTTTGTAAAAACAAATTAATTTTAAATTGTTTCAAGCAATCACATAAAATAGATATATCATAATCCAGTGTTATTGTATAGCGATTTATACAGTGAATTAATTTTTATTTATGACAAATATTAAATGATATTCTGGAAAATCAATTGGATATCTATTACAACCAATAAATATATATAATATATTCTGTATATTTTTACAGATATGTAGCTGCATGGCAAGAATACAGTCAGGGTGTGGCATATCTTAACAGCTTATACTCCTATCTAAACCTGCAACATGTTAAAAGGCAGAAGGTAATATATTATTCTTTTATATATTATTCTTAATTCATACAAAAACACAACATGTAGATCTGAACATCCTCATAGCAACTAAAAAATTGAGCAGGTCAAACACTCAAACACACTTTTAAAATATACTATGAAGTGGTCAATAGATTAGTTTAAAAATCCTTTCAGGTTTCTGATGCAGAGATAATATATGGTTCATCGGCAACAGTTAGCTGTCCAGAACATGATTCCAGACAGTTAGAGGTATGTCTCTATTTTGTGACAAGAGTTTTCTCTAATCTAATGAACTATCAGAGTTAATATGTGGTAAGTATATTAATTTCATCTTGAGTGCAGACTAGCATAAAAAAATTAAAAATAATCTTAGTTTTTGCCATTTCTGATAGCTCAGTGTTCAGGTGCTCGGTTTTAATCAATGTACTTGAGCAAACTGAGTTTGATACTGGTGCGGTGAAAGAAAACATCGCGAGGAAACCTGCATATTTTCGAAATAATAACAAAAGAATATTTCGAAAATATGTGAAGTCCGCCAATCCGCAGTGGGGCCGCGTGGTCACCAGCACTATTTGCTTAAACTTAGTCGATCTAATATGTTCCATTTGGCTATTTCTATAAACATAGGTCTCCGCATTCCAGGTGGGGGAGCTAGGGCTGGTGACCTGGGAACGGGTGCTGGTGAAACCGCTGTCAGGGGCTCTGACGTGTCGCATCGTGGCAGCCCTGTCGGCAGCCCGAGATAACTCGCTGGAGACTCCGCTGGCTGACGTGCTGCATGCGGCCATACACAGCGCGGTCTACGCTCAGGTACGCTTTTTACACTAAAAACACTTGTAGTTTGTAGCTAGTGACACAGCTGCTAAGCTGTTGGCTTAAGCATCATCAGTCTTGTATTTGATTCAAATTCGGAACAATTATTTGTGGGCCCCACAGATAATTGCACCTGATGTGAGTATTTGTCCACCTGAAATTTATGAATGTAAAACATCGTTCCATCTAGCATTAACAAGTAAGGGAACTTTTTTTTAACAGAAAGGAGAAAACTATACATACCACCATCATAAATCCTTTTTTTATCTGTTCCCCTCGAAGACATTGACCTTATGATCTGTATATATTAAATATAATAAAAAGTACATCTGATATAATGAAAATGACCTGGATGATAATTAATAAATAAAATAAAAATGTCATGCTGAGATTCTTTCTCCAGTTCTTCTCAGGTCAGTGGATTTTTTTTCAGAACCAGTGGTAGTGTTGAAAATCAAGAAAGTACGTGTGATGCTTCCATGGAGCTAGCTTGATTGACTCTTTTTTCTGAAGCCTAATTTAGACTTCTGTTCTGAAGGCTCATTCAGTCCACTGTTAGTGCTGTTATGTGCACATTCGCTATTGTGATTCTCTTTGCAGGCTCACCGAGTCCGTGCACCTTTGCAGCTGTACCAGCAGCTTGTTCTGGAGCCATACCTGGCCGCGGCGGCGACACACCACGCGCGAAGGGCTGCCGATTTACTGCAGGACGGCAATGTGTCCCATTACATGAAGCACATTTTAGAAGGTGGTTTTAACATTTACTGAACGGTAAAACAAGTAAACGGAAAACATCAACAACCTGCATATTTTAGATTAATAAAAAAAAATATTTCCGAAAGGTCCGACAATCCGCTGTGGGGTCACGTTGTGGATTATGCCCTAATACCTTCTTTACAGAGGAGGCTTTTGCCTAACAGTGGAACATTTATAGACTGTTACTAGAAGATGGTTAACATTGCAGTTATTTGGTGTTATTTTAACTCTGTTGAGGTCACGCAAAATTCTGGTATTCAATGAATGTCTTTTGGACAAGACCAAGGAAGTGAAAGTATTTATAATTTTACTTCTCGTCTGGAGATGTGAGTGTGAGTGAAAGTGAAAATTTCAAGCAACGCATCTGATACCCTCAGATGTTTTCGATGTCCATTGACATTATAACCTGGTACTTTGTCGTTTCTGTCGTGACAGCATTATGGATATAAATTAAAATTAATTTAGACCAACCCAAAATCCAACACAAACTGAAAGGCGAACTCTGCGTTAAGAGCCACCGAAGATAGCTAGCCAAAATTGACCGTGTACACTGATTGTGTTCGTAGCAAGTACAATGCCATCCGTCGGTAACAAATTGTATGAACGAGACATAAAACTCCAGGTCTGGAGCGGGAGACGGCGCTGGGGGCCCGCTATCTGCACTCGTCCTCTTCGGAGGCGGTCCGCGGCTGCTACGAGCGGGCCGCGGTCGCTGCGCACCTGCCCGCCCTACACGCGCACACCGAGCGGCTGCTACGCGAGGCGTGCTCCGACGGCGATGACGCCCCACAGGTGCACACACGTGCAGTGACACGCGCGCACGCGTCACGACTCACACATGTGCTTTGACACGCGCATACACATCACGACGCACACACGTAATTTGACACGCGCACACCTGCTTTGACACGCTCACACGCGTCAGGACGCACACACGTGCTTTGATCCGCGCAAACGCGCACACGCGTCACGACGCACACACGTCCTATAACACGCGCGCACACGCATTCAAACGCACACATATGCATTGACGCGCAGCCGCACGCAACCCAACGTGCGCACGTGTTGCGTGCGAAGAGCACTTGTCATAACGTAGACTCACAAACTAGCCAAAAACTTAACTCCCTCAGTGATTCGGCCAATCTTTGTGCAGTACATAGTTTGTGGGTACCGTAAGGATTGTATGCAGCCGTCAGGACGAAGGCGAGATGGAGTCTCCTTAAACATAAGCATAGACTATGATGAAGATTTTTTTTTAAGTTTCCTCTGTAATAAACGAGCACATGCGGTTTAGTGCAAATCTTCGCACATGAGATGTATCGGGGGAAATCATTAGATTTCGTGCAAAAATAATCACGCAATCCAATCATCAATTTGGACGATATTCAAACGTTCAAACCACTCACAGAGCAGGCTTTTGACCAATGGGATATACGGGACAACTATAATGACTGACATACCGTTTTCGTTTCCAGCGGCGTGAGGACTTAAAGCGGATGTACACGCTGCTCAAGCCGCTGAGCGGGCAAGGCGCGCTGCGGCCGTTGATCGACGCGGCGCACGCTCAGGCCGCGCGCGAGGGCCTGGCCCTCCTGGCGCAGGAGCACAGCAAGGACGAGGTACTCCCGAAGACCGTATTCCCCGCAATGGTCCATCGGCCCAGCCCCATTTTCTCCGTGAAACCGTGGAGGTTATACTGACTGACCGCATGCCTCGGATATTAAAATGGTGACTGGCGTACCTCTGGTTACTCAATGACAAAAGCAATTCAGCCCTTGCTTCCCTTCAAGCTTCGTTACTTACTTAGTATATATATACAGCGTGTCTTTACCACCGCGACAATAAATGAACGTTAAAAAAACTCCATAATTAAAAAAAAATATATTTTTCATAGAAACTAATTAAGTAAAAAAGAAACAAAATTTATAACATCCTATACAACTACATCTGACTGATTCATACATTCAGAGACTTTTTCATTCGTTGCCACAGCGCCGCATTACAAGCCTCTCCTTCTAACAGTATGTTTTGTCTCTTTTAAATTCATTCAACCCATTCATATGCTTTGTGACCTTTACAAATGAACTTTACGTTACAGTTTTATACGTAAGGGTGTTCTAAAATTCTTTGTTTTGGAAAATTTAATAACTCTGTAAATATTGATGTTTAAAGAAAGTAAATGTTTAACACAATTTTAAAAAGTTATCCTCTATATGTGTGTTCATTTATTGTCGTGATGGTAAAGAAAGACACGCTGTATATACAGGGTGACTTTTATAAACGTGCCCAAATTCACACAGGAGGTTTATACTCGGTAGTAGAATCGTTTATTGAAATAAAAACAAACTTCTTTTTTTTTTTCAAAAAAAATTCCGTTCTATTCCCTAAAAAACAGAACTTGTTGACAATGCGGTAGTCATTCATAAATGCGTCGTTTACTTTTGAAACGAACTTGTGTGTGTGTTAGTTATGAATGATCGCGCGTAAAATAAACGAGTTGCCCATAAATCACGCAATTTTGAGATAAGTTCAAATGAATGTAATTAATTGATTACGAGTGATTTTAAATATTTATAATTTTTTATATAACTTTATTTATGTCTAGAATTTAATTAAAAAAAATGGATACGCTCAGAAAAGACTCCCTGTATACTTCCAGATAAATTAAAAACTACCCCTCTACTGTGGATACGTAACATGAAAACTTTTTTCTAAAATCTACCTAGTTAGTTCCTTGCGTTTTATGGTTCCCTCAAAGGTTAAAATGGAACCCTATTACTAAGACTCCGCTATCTGTCTGTCTGTTCGTTTATCACCAGGCGGTATGTCATGAACCATGATAGTTAGCCAGTTAAAATTTTCACAGATGATGTATTGCTGTTGCCAATATTAAAAAAAATAATTTTAAAAAAATATTTAAATGGGGTTCCCATACAATACACATGATTTTTTCGCCGATTTTTTTAGATAATGGTACAGAACCCTTCGTGCGCGAGCCCGACTCGCACTTGGCCGTTTTTATTTGCATTTTGTAATAACCCTACAAGCTTGGCGTTAGTTCAATACTCCAAAACTTTTTCCATCTATTTCAATCACCTTATCTGAAAGCCCCGCTCAGTAAGCTGGCTATAAGAATCCCAATTACCAAAGAAACCAACTCTGTGAAGGGACGGCCTGTTTTCTTTTGCCAAAGGGGGTTAATGAATGAATGATATTTTAATTGAAAACCGTGTTTCTGTTTGTTTCAGGCGCACACTCATTTTGTAAACGCTATGCTAACGCTGCACGGGAAATATAGCAAACTGTTCTCAGAGGTGTTTGATGGTGCACAAGCCTTCATTGGTGCACTCGACAAAGTGAGTTACGTTATTTAACTGCAAGCTTATTTTATATATCTATATTACGACGTTCATAACTGATCGAAATGGATGTCAATTTAATGAAATTTTTTATACTGTCACTTATATTTTTACTGTTATTATTGTTCACAAATGTTTCAATTTCAACTGCAGAAGTGGAGTGAACATATTTCTTTTTTAATTTGACGGGGGATGAATCTGATACCAAACTAAAACTATCAGACCTCAGATGGATGTCGACAAAACTCGTGTCAGCCGTTAGAAAGACGAACCAAAGTTTAACATTTCTAATTATATAAACATTTCTAATTAACGCCAGTTTTTGATGAGGCTCATTTACTACCCTAGGAAGTATCGGGGAGCACCGCCTTCTGCATTTATATGAGCTTTGAGCGGTCCGTCCCGGAGTCCCCTCAGATGTTGCCAGAGGCTCACTCGACAAAAACGACTTTAATTTTTTTTATGAGAAAGCGGCAAACGAGCCGGCGGTACACCTGATGTTAAGTGATAACCTCCGCCCACGGACATTTGCAACACCGATTGCAGTGTTTCCACCTTTTAATAACGTGGGCCCCGGCTGCCTCACTCACCGGACGAAACGCAGCAGTGTAACACTCCTACTTTACGCCGGTCTTCTATGAGATCGTGGTTCCAACCCGGACGGACCTGCCCCTTCTCCAAAGGGTTGTCACACTGCATCTGCAGCCGATGTCCACGGGCGGCGCTGTTCACTTAGCATCAGGTGAACCGTGCAACAGCGACTATTGTCGCGCGGTCCCACATTATCATTGTACCCTGTTGTACCCCGTGTTTTTAGTTATAAATCCTTTATTTCTATCGGTGTACAATAAAGTTATTTTTTTTTGTTATTTTAAAAAAAACATTGCCCTCACTTTAGGATAACATTATCCTGTGTTGTAAGGACGTTTTACAAACATAAATTACACGAGGACAAACACCCAGATGCGAAACAACTATCTGTGGGTCGCACATATATTTGTCCCGTGTGGGAATCGAACCCACGACGCCCGACGCCGAAGCCAGTAACTTGGCACATGCGCCGCGGAGTCATCGAAATTAAAGTAAAGTATTTTAGTTTACTTTACTTTACTTTTACTTATCATTGCGACGAAAACACCCGCAGGCGTGCAGCGCCGTGGTGAACGCGCGGCAGCCGGGCGAGGGCGCGGCGCGGGCGCCCGAGCTGCTCGCCAGGTACTGCGACGCCCTGCTGCGGCGGCGCGGCGCCGACCACGAGGCGGACGAGAAGCTCGCCGCGGCCATAGTCGTCTTCAAGTACGTGGACGACAAGGACGTGTTCCAGAAGCACTACGCGCGCGCGCTCGCCAGGCGCCTCATCCACCAGCTCTCCGCCTCGATGGAGCAGGAGGAGGCGATGATCAACCGGCTCAAGGCGGCGTGCGGCTACGAGTTCACGAACAAGCTGCACAGGATGTTCACCGACGTCGCCGTGTCGGCCGACCTCAACGCCAAGTTCCAGCAGCACCTGCGGGAGAACAACCTGTCCACGAACACCGGCTTCTTCATACAGGTGCGTGCGGCACACGACCGCGGGGAGGGGGGATGATAAACGGTAACTGCTATGGTGCAGTGTAGACACTACTGGACAATGCTGGACAGAGACATCTTCGATATATAGTCCTAAAGTGTCCTTACTAAGTTTTCAGTTAACATAACTCGCTCCAATGACAAAAAAAACACACTGTTTTCTCACATTTTAATGGAAATGTACGGATAAAATATTGGAATACTACTAATAGTTTTAAAATATAATTATATGACCGTAATATTTAGACACAAGCAACGAAAGCAACGACAACTTTCATCTTGCGATACACACTTAGCTATTACTAGGTCAATTCTGTTCTCGAATCATTTTCAATTTTGTGTACGATCAAGAGCACTTCACAGTTCAGTTTGATATACGTACATTCCTTATTTTGATTAAGTACTTTCATGGTGCGATAACTTGGTTTTAATCCACGAAGGTATACGCGCAGAACTAATGTATCCAAGTTCGTTCCGATGCACGTATGTTTTGCGATAATTATGTTTATTATTTGTGTGGAAGGGTAAGTCTCAACAAGCATTTAAGGTCTATTGTAGTCTTCCCTTGGAAGCCAGATAGCATCTTGCAAACTAACGGACTTGCTCGGCTTCCAAGTTGTTTTAACCGTTTTAAACTATATTTTTTACGACCGGTCCGCCTGCCTGGCGCCAGCCGTTCATATGAAACAAACACCCAAATTCGGAACAATTATCTGTGGGTGACACAAATACTTGTCCTTTGCGGGAATCGAACCCACAACCGACGCCGAAGCCTATAGTTAGCTTAGCGACCGCCCCACCGAGTGGAACGTCACGATAAGAAATAAAAATAAAAATTTTGCAGCATTTATTGCTTTTAATCCTTACAATTAATAAATGCCTTCCTACTATTAACTAAATTGATTTAATCAATTATAATTTGAATCTTATGAATGATCGGCAAGAGAATGAAAAGAGTTAATAACAGAATGGTATCCAAGAGATGGAAAAAGAAAGAGAGGCAGAAAAATCAAAAGATGGGAAGATGACTTCAAGAGAATAGCTGGTCCGGTATGGATACGTTTAGCAAGAGACAGGAATGCGTGAAAATCTTTAGAGGAAGCCTTTGTCAGAAGCTTGACAGACAAGCTGTTCCGCACAAACATCTAGTTGCTGGAACGACACGATACGGCGGGCTAAACAAGTGTTTCGGTCCGTTTTCAGGTGTTGCAGGCGGGCGCGTGGCCGCTGGGCGGGGCGATGGCGCCACTCGCGCCGCCCGCCCAGCTCGAACGGCCGGCGCGTCTGTTCGAGGCGTTCTACCGCGCCTCCTTCAGCGGCCGCCGCCTCGCGTGGCTGCACCACCTCTGCACCGGCGAGCTGCGCACCCGCTACACGCAGCGGGTGTACCACATCAGCGCCACCACGCCGCAGGTGCGGACCGTTGCAACACTCAGCTCGGGCTTGCAGTATATAATTCTTTAAAGGCTTTCTTAATAAGCCAGAGTGTCATCATTCAGGATCCTTGCTCCCTTAAGGCGTACTTTAAGCCTCGATGCACTATCGCAAAAACTGGCATAAGGAAAGATAATTTAAATTCAAATATCTTTATTCAACATAGAAGCATTACAATTATGACTTATTTAATGATCGTCAAAACACTAACACCGGTCTGGCAAAAAAAAACGTTGACCTGAGAGGAACCGGCCAAAGTAACTCATCGGGACGATACAGAACGCATAGTAGTTGTCTGTAGGTGAGTAGTGAATAGGGAAAAAACTGAATTTTACGCATGAGTGTCATTAAAATTGCGTACACATTTTCGGTGCGTCATAATAAACCCTTACGTTCGTTCATGTGATACTGAGAAAACTATGTAATAGGAACGCCAAAAGTGAAGAAATTTATCGATATATCGAGATAAAATATCGACATTTTCTTATTAGGCCCTGTTGTCCAAAAAAAAACGTATATTTGAATGTACAGACTGTCCCAGATTCGAATTTGGAAAAAAATATAGTTTTTTCTACGATTTCGATAGTGGACATTTTATATCGACATATCGATAATATTCGACATCCCTACTACGTAATAAAATAAACGGGTTGCGTGCAGTGCGCGCTGCTGCTGATGTTCGAGACGGCGGACACGGTGAATGCGCGGGAGGCGCGCGAGGCGCTGCAGCTGAGCGGCGAGGCGTGGGCGCGCCACGTGCGGCCGCTGCTCGACGCCGGGCTGCTGACGGCGCGCGGCGACGTCGACGCCGACTCGGACGCCGACGCCGACGCCGACGCCGACACCGACGCCGACACCGACGCGACGTCGACGGGCCGCGCCGACGCCGAGCTCGCGCTCAACCTGGCCTTCAGCTGCAAGCGCACGCGGCTGCGGCTCACGTGCGCCGCCGCGCCCCCACACTCAGGTCAGGGGTTGGCGGTGTCTTTATCTTTATAGATAAAAGCCTGAACCCCGTTATTATTACGTTCAGGGCAGGGGTTGGCGGTGTCTTTATAGATAAAAACCCCTTAAGATAAAGATAATAAAAAAGTTCGGCTCTAGTGCGCACCAGCCGATTCCAAATTCGATTCGAATTTGTTTTTATTTTCGACTCGAACTCGCCCGTGATTCGAACTCGATTTGAAAAGCTTACTGTCGAATCAAACTAGAAACAGGATCGTGCGTTATCGAATCCATTTACTGTGTCCGCCCTATTACGTCACAGACAAATGTTCCATGTTCACGGTTATAATCTTTTTTTAGATGAAATTTACCTATTAATTAACAAACTAGCCAAATAGGGGTAGATTAATTAATCTACCCCTAATTGGGCTAGTTTGTTGTTGCCATTTCAGTGGCACACGCCAATTTGGTGGATACAAAGTGAAATAGGGAATTATTGGACTTGTGAACGCATATGCATGGGCGGACCATAGAATAGACCAGTTTAACTTGAAAACTTCCAGGTGGGGGCGGCACCAACATTGCGAGCGGTGGCAGTGGTGAGGCCGCGCACTGCGACGACGACCGCAAGATGTACCTACAAGCGGCTCTAGTGCGGATAATGAAGCAGAGAAAGGTGCGGCCGCACCGGGAAACGTCAATTAACACTTAACTATTGATTAAGTCGTTCGAGCGAGAATAACCCTTTAATAACTGTAACACGTAGATAAGAAGGTAGTTGATAATTGTGCTAAGGCCACGCAAAAATTTTCGTTGTTAAACAAATGGGCAAGTCCGTCCGGAGGAGTACCACGATCTCACAGAAGACCGATATACTTCGGAGTTTCATATTGTGAGTGGGGTAATCGTGGCCCGTATTTTTAAAGGATGTCAACGTATCTACAAGCCCTCATGTGTTTTAGATGTCCATGGGCAGCGGTATTGATTTAACTTCGGGTGAACCGCACCGTTTGCTTGCTTGACAATTTTTCACATAAAGAAAAGTTTGGCTCATGTTAACCTGCCCATGACGTTTACAAGACCCGTCCGGGCCCCAGTTACCTGGATCACTAGACGAAATACAAAAGTCTTGATACTTATACTTAATGAGAGAACTTGATACTTCCATATGATGTGGCCCACACATGTAACATCAGAAGTTACCTAGTTGTCCACTTAATGCCGGTCTTCCGTGAGGCCGTGGTACCTCCCCGGACGTGCCTGGCCATTCGTGCAACAGCTGAGCCGCTGCGTGGCCCTGCCACAAAGAAAGTGTCAAGCGATCTGGCCGTTCACCTGATGTTGCGCGATAATCGCCGCCCATGGACAATTGTAACACCCGTAGGTTTGCCACCTCTTAATAAAGTGGGACAGGGCTACCACACTCACCAGACGAATCGCAGAAGTGTAACACTTCCACTTCACGCCGGCCCTCTGTGAGGTCGCGGTACTTACGGACGGACCTGCCCATTCGTGCACAAGCAGAACTTGAGCGTGGCCCTACCACAGCAAACTATCTAGACTTTCTCCACCTTCACTAAGGATAAAAACGTAGGCGTCTTCCAGGCAAGAGTGAATAGGTTTTTACTGGTAGCTAGCTGGCTAGCGCGCTTACCATCAAAGGTTGCATCGCCGCTCACCATCGCGTGGGACGGCAGTCAAGTGCTGGCCAGTTCTGAGTTTAAAGATAAATAAATGAAAGATGCCTTAATGAGCGCGCTTCTTGCAGGTGCTGCGTCACACGGAACTGATCCAGGAGGTGGTGGCTCAGGCGCGCGGCTCGTTCGCACCGTCCGTCGCGATGATCAAGAAGTGCATAGAGGCCCTCATAGACAAGCAGTACCTGGAGCGGGCGCCCGGCACCCTGGACACCTATTCGTACCTAGCGTAGAGCGGAGCCAGTTCGGACTGCTCCGTGGGGCGTGGCGATGCGCGAACACTATAAAGCGGCTACCAATTTCGCCTGCAGCGTTCCACCGGCCCTTCCACTATGGTACATAATGCAATCATGGGTACAAATAAATATCGCTCGGTGTCACAGAACCACATTTTGTTGTATCACGTTATATCTCACGGCGATATTTCGATTTGTGTCTATGGACGCGTATCGCGGCGTGCTATTTATATCTTGGGGTAAGTTATATCTCGTGGCGAAATGCAAACGTCATATCGATGGCAACTTTTTTGTTTGTTTCATTTTTTTTTTAATGAATTTGTACACTCTTGTACAATGAAATCGAGCCAAGGATTAGCTATTCGTGAACGATTAGAGATATTTACCGCGAGTAGAAATCATCTCGCTCTACATAATATGGAGCGAAGTGCCCTCACAAATTTAATAAATAATTCACTTGCCTCACGACCACCTTGTAATTTGTTCGATAACGGTGCAATTAAATCGATAATAATAAACGAGTTTTGTATAGATTTTGTATTTTAACTGTTTGCATAATTAATTAAAAGATAGTGATGATTCTGAAAAAAATGTTTCTATATTTGAAACACCTTGTTTCCCTACACCTCATGCTATGTACAATACATTATTTCTACAGACAGCATTGAGTTCGCCAATGTGTTTTTTTTTTCCGAACTCATTATTCTGTTTTCTTTTTTTTAAACATATATTACGACCTAATTATGTGTTACTGAGCAAGCCGTAAAGGAATTGTTGTACATTATAGGCTATCATAGTTTTTAACATAGATTACGTGAAGGCGTGCTCTGGCCTGGAACTACGCCGCACACCATCTCAAATTATAATTTATCTATTAAATATTGTTTAATAAATATTGTACGGATGCCGTTAGACGGTGTTTTATTTTCGCCCCGAAATGACTGACACACGAAATGTCTTCGATAACGCGGCTTAGGTTTATTTTTGATATTAACTATTTTTAACCGACTTCAAAAAGGAGGAGGTTTCTCAATTCGACCGTATTTTGTTGTGTGTTCGGGGAGAACTTCGTCATTTATGAACCGATTTTGAGGATTCTTTTTTTGTTGGAAAGAAGATATCCCAAGGGTGGTAACATAAAAACCCAGAAAGGGCAATCCTCAAATTTTACAGGCGTTGACAATGTTTTATAAGTTTCCTGTTTGAAGTCGATTATTTTTGTTCAAAATTGCCGAACTAAGCATTTTTACACAACGTTCTCTAGACCCAAACTAAGCAACCCTCTTCTATGGGTACTATATAACTGATAAACATAGTTTTATTTTTTGTAAATTAATACATCTTATACATATATAAATACCCGGGCACAGGAAAAACACTATGTTTATCACACAATATTTTTACAGTAGTGGGGATCGAACCCACACCCTCTGGCGCAAGAGGTAGGTTCATTACTCCCCCACGCCAATCGGATGGTCAATTTCCTGAGTGCTTTAACGACCGTCTAACGTCTATGTTCCGTATACCACGACAACACTATACTTATTGGTCCGATAAAGCTCGATTAAAAAGTGAATAGAAAAAAACTCTCCGTTCCATCGCTATCGTCAAAACGTCGAGTGCTCATTTGCTTTCATCTGTTTCAATTGTTTTTTTTTTTTTTTATTTGTTAATACGAGTGTTATGTTTACTATAACAATCACGGCCGGCTACTTTGTTAAACTCTTTGAATTGATCATTCTGATTAAATCGGAGAGTTTAACAATCCTTTTGTCAACTCAAATAACATTTGATAATCCATTTGACAGCTGATTAGTTGACTTCTACGATGATCAGTGTTCCAGAAACCGGGCGTTAGTGTATCCAATGTCTTCCTTTGTCACAGGTAATGTTCGTGGATAGTAAAGTACTAAAGATCGTATAAAAAAATCGAGGCCGCAATTCTGCTTCATCGTGGGTTTGAATTCTGGTGCCGTAACGTACAGTCACACCTTTTTTTGGTATCGGGGGGAACTCCTCAATAAAGATCCCGTCATTTCTCACATGTCAGGTCTATGGGGTTCGTACCCACTAAAACCCCCCCTCGGTGGCCATTAGTACGTTTGGAGGAACAGGGATCAACTACGGAACGCGCCAGTGTCATTCGGTACCGCGCATGAGCACGCCTCGGAGAAGGATAAACCTTCCCCGATTTCCTCACAATCTTGCAACAGCTTTTTAGTCGCTTTTTACGACAGGGCATACTTAGCCCTATCCTATGAGCCCGGACTACAGGTGTGACAGTCACACACCTGTCGACACGTTCAGAAACTTGTCATTTTTGAGATCGCAGTAACAGTGGACCAATCACAACTTTACCTTACGCTTAAACGAATGAAAGTTGCTATTGTACCCGCTTTATTTTTAAAGACCTGCCAAGACAGGCATTTAAAACATCACATACAATAAGATCCAAATGTACCAACTTGTCTGTATTAGACTTGCAACGAATATTGGTATTCAGCGATTTTCATCATATTGGCCGAATACTTAAGGTATTTTGATGTAGGACAATTAAATGGTAAAATGCAAATATTCATTTATTTTATAAAAATATATTTTTGTAGTCATAAAGATGTATGTCCTCTCGAATTATCGATATTATAATTTAGAAGTGATTAAAAAGAGTGGTTAGGTTAGAGAATATTTTTTCTAAATTTTAGGTAGTAGTTTACGTCTTTACTTTCCACACTTTAAAACCATTGTGGCCATTTTCTATGGATCATTTGTAAAATTTTGAGCAAAAATATAAAGGAATCATAAAATAACTCCACAAATGTTAAGCCATGGGACTTTGAAGTTGCTCTTGCAAAAATAATTTCGTTACATACGCGCCGCGCACCACCACTAGAAATAAACGATGCGGCTTGTAAATCAAGAAAAGGAAAAAGTGGTGCAAACTGAGTACGTAGGCGTAAAGTACTAAAAGGAGCTAAAAGACTAAATATATTTGGTATATGTGTGTGAACATCATTTTGACGTAAGTATAGGTAGCCCTATTAACAATAATTTATCTGATTAAGAATACTTGTTGTACTAATTTAGGTTGAGAATAAGTTATTGTTTAGAAATAAATACAGATTTTATACATTTTTTTAATGTGAAAAGGTGACAATCGAGCTACCCGTTCATCTGATGTTAAGGGATAACCGCCGCTCGGAGGATATTTGCAACACTCTTAGGATTGTAGATGCTATGCCAACTTTCAATAAAGTGGGCCCCGGACAGACCTGCTCATTCGTGCAACAGCGTGACGCAGACTTACCGACGCATTATAAAATGTTTTTGAAGATACTTATGTACTTTAAAAATCGAATATATTTACAACATCGAATTAGCTTTTTGTTTATCTATTTGAAATAGTTCGTATATTTCGTAAGCGTAGAGTGAATATCGCTTATTTAATACCGCTAAGCTTTATGAAAGGTTGAAACTTATTAAAAAAAACCTTCGATTTGAAATCAATCGTCAGTCCTCATTTTAATGTTTAAAAATTGTTGAGTTACATTAAATGGAGTCAAATTAATCAGAGGGTAAAAAAGACTTTCGCTAAGGTGCACAGATAAATATAAATAATTTATTCTGTCTTTTGTTGGGCGATTTAAAAAAATTATTTCTATTATACATATGGCATTAAGAACATCACGAAACTGTTCCAGTGAACGTTATCCAAATACCGAGAAAATTTAACGTAATATGTATTCAAACATTCTTAGTATTATTTTACGTAACTTCGACATGTTACGTGTTATAGGTATTTCATACAATGTTATTTTATATTAACAATAGAAGCACGTATCTGAATCGTGTCATAGGTTCATGGCGCAACTGTGTCACGCAGAACTGATAGAAATTGGTTTATAGGGCAATAGTGCGCAGTGTCTTCAACTTTCCAAGCTCGCAATGCAGACTCTGATCATCATTTGTTCCGCGCTTGCGCTATTTCAGGTAAGCAACTTTTTCAATCTCTAAGTTAAACACACAAAATTCGCAAGGATTGTGGTAATTGGACATCCGTACACGTCTTCCCCTGATACAGAACTGATGGTTAAATTATTCGAATATTTAATTTTCCTCCAAATTAAATGTGTAAGTCTCACGTAATTTTTAAAGGTAACATAATGTTTTGCAGCAAGCGCACGCACAATGCCTGCCGACGGCATACTGTCTTCCTGCGCCGGCACCCACGCCCGTGGTACTGCCAGCACCGGCGGCCGCACCCATCTGCATATCGGCTACCCCGGCAGCCCTACCGGCGCCGGCTTTAGCCGCCCTCGCCCCCGCGCTGGCTTCCACTCTATCTGCCTCCCTAGCCGCGACTCTACCTCCACTTTTGGAGGCTGCGCTGCCCACTGTACTTACGTCAGCACTGGCTGCCGCCGCGCCTCTTCTGGCTGCCTTACCAGCACCAGCACCATGCGCGACACCGGTAGTGTATATCTAATAGTTTAATTTCTAATAAATAGCAACAATTGTATTTTCCCATACAAACTGTTCCTACCTGTAAAACATTTTATTCGTGCGTTCCGAAAATTCTTTTCCTATGCGTTCAGATTCCAAAATTGCCTAGAAATAATTTGCCGGCTCAGCTAGTATATATATCGCTTAAACTCGAGAACGGCAGGACCAATTGGGAGATTTCGTTTTGAATTATTTGTGGCAGTCCAGGGATGGTTCAAATGATGAGAAAATACAAAAAACGGAAAATCGAAATAACAACTTTATTTTTCCATACAAACTGTCCCTCCCTGTAAACATTTTATCGCTGTCTTCTTAAACTTCTTTTCCTGTCTGTCCTGGGAATCTGAACTCATAGAAAAGGAATTTTCTAAGTGATAAGTGTGATCCACCTCAATTTTTGTATTCTGCCATACAAATTCCTTAGATTAAATTTTATGTGGCAATAGTTTCTTCTGTATCTAAGATATAATCTAAAATATAATTTCTAATCTGGCTTTACCAATGTTTGTAAACAAATAAAAATTCACAATTTAAAGTTTCATCTGGAGTGCAGAAACTAGCACTAAAAATAAAAATGATTCCTAAATGTACCGTACCTACTCTTACTGAGCTTCTTTTTTCCTTTTTCAACGCTTTACAGGTAAATTTGTGACTGTATAAGATAGCTTATGTATTTTTTTCGCAATTAAAAATTATGAATAATAACTTTCAAATGACTATAATGTTGTAATTGGTGTTTTGTATGAATGTACTGCGTAGCGTTAAGTTTTCTTGATGTTTGTTGCAGGAGATTGAAGAATAAACATTTCGTGTAAAGAGTCTTTATAATTGAGTTGCCTTTGTGCAAAACCTACCTTTTTAACAAATCCTGTGATACGTGTTACTTTACAAAAACATTACATATAAAAAGGCAGAGATATATAAAAGGAGCCAGAAATGCTGCAGGCGTGTTGCCATTTATCTGTCAATAACCATTGAGATTTTCGACCTCGGCTTTTACCTCTTATCTTCAGCCAGTCTGCCATAGATAAGACATATATACTGAAACTGTATATTATTAATATATATATATATATATATATATATACAGTTTATAATAAAAAATAGAAAATAAAGAAAATGATCTGGTATAGAAAAAAAAGTAAAAATAAATAAGTGTGTAAATGATCGTGATACGAACCGCGGCCGTCAGTTTTGGGGCTGCCCCATTACCTTATTGAATGATATTTTTCATTCCCTGAAAACAGGGATAAAAGGAAATTTTCTAAAAATGAAACCTAGCTATATATATATATATATATATATATATATATATATATATATATATATATATATAGATTTCATTTTTATATATATATATACAAGAATTTCTCGTTTAAAGGATAAGATAACTGCAGTCTGCTTGTTTTCGTTATTTCTAACTCTATGATCTCAGTTGTCTGTATCACTGTTAACATGATCTGCATGCTGACTATCTACAGCTTTATCTATATCCAAGCAGACATTAAAAATCTAAATAACCGCTTAATAATACATATTCAAGTAATAATACATATTCAACCAAGTGTAATTGTTGCACTACATGCTCTCCACAGAGCACTAGTGTCCACTGGAAATTTTCTTGGTAGGATTTAAACTATTCACGTTATCAATCGTAGGTTTAAATGGCAAATGAAAATTCAGCGATGCAAGTAACAAAATATTTATTCCTTTGGTTAGAGGAGTTAATCAAAAATTAAATCCTTAACAACTTCTTGACGGATCGGCGAACGCTCCCCTAGGTTTCCTTAGAAAACGAGGGGATGGCCGCAAATCCTTCCCGTAACCGATCTAACTAAACGATTTATATCAATATCTGTACACAGTAAAAATGAAGGAGTGATATTTTATCTTTATTAAAAAATTTCAGCTTTAAAATTAAAAGATGTCGTATATAAATCTTATTACAGTTATTGTAACTTTTTAATGAGGCAATAATAGTCCGGGCTTTCCTATTTACTGCGTACAGAAGACACCGTTAACAAGTAATGCATGCAATACAAAGTCCAACACTACGGTACATAGACAATTTCCAATACCACAGTTTGAGAAGCACAACACTTTGGTTCTCGTATGCTTAGAAAAATGACGCGTGTCACCGAAGTAACGCACACACTGACAATTTCTAACGGGGATTCAAACCGCACAATTATACTTAATAAGTTACTACATTACAGAATCAAACTTCGACAAAGTTTAAAGTAATACGAAATTTTTTGTGAAGTTATTGTCGACGTGACTAGATTTTTGACTGATATTATAAATTAGGGACTATTGAGAGAAATATATACTTGAGATTCACAATTTTGGTGTTTATATAACAAAAAAATACTACAGCAATGCGTTTTATATATACAGAACATATACAGGTGGCTAGGCAGCAAGATAGTAAGTTCTACAAAATCAGTTTTATTATTTTGCCAAAATCTATTAAAGAAGGTACACAAGTAGTTTAGGTTAGCCTTCAAACTGTGGCATTCCGAGCAGTTAAAATTTGAGACAATTTGAACACGGTCTTAAAAATTAAGCTATAATTATTTTGGCCAATTTATTGCACTACCATCTAAATAAACTAATTATGGCATTATTTATGACACAATTACCTTTTCTTATACAATATAAATTTCTTTGTTTCTTTTTGAGCATTACATTATTAATCTATGGCAAGTCTATTTAAACGGTCATAGACAAGATAGATGAGTTAGTTAACATGTCAAAATAGAAGAAAAATTAAACGGAAAATCACTCTTTAAAATATTGCTTAAATCATTGCAATATGATAGAGCAATCAATTTTTTAAAAAAGATAGTCAAATTAATCTTAAGAAATTAATAAACTAAAAGAAGGAAAGGTAATAAAAACATAACGTAATGCTGCACTTTAAGAATGAGATAAAAAAAGCTTATGGTCGTCATTATTAAGGGCCACAATAGAAATGAGAAGGCAATGGGGACATTTTTAAAAAAAAAACCGTAAATACAAGAAATTATTAAAAAAAACTAGGTTTAATTAGTTGTTAGATCCGATAAAAAAACATGAATATTGATAATACTGATGTGTAGTAATCATAATGTGAAATGACGCGAATACATTCGAAGGCACCAAGATTTTTTGCCACCTCAAAAATCTAGTGTTTCAAGGTCAACGGAAAAGTTGAGACGTGTCGCGATAAAGACGGGAAAATTCGATGCATGATAATATAAACGACATGCTTTTAACATTAGCAAGATTTCTCTACGAGGGTGTTTTGGTTGCGACGTCAGTATATAGGTCTTCAAAGAGCGTTGCCGCGTTTTTGGATCACAGATTAGTAAGGCACTGGGGGCGAAATGGGTGGGGGACTGTACGGCGTGGCAGCGTTGCCCTCTCATTTCTAAACTCGCACGGCTGTTTTAGCCCGGGGGCCAGCCCATCTGCCGGCCCCCCATCACGTGCAGATGGAGGTGGTATACCGACTGGGCCCCGTGGCGACCGTTGTTGACCACCAGCCGCCATCCAGCAGGCGCCCTGGCAGCGCCAAGGGAACGCGCCACCAGCATTAGGTGGCCGAGGATCTGGGGGCAGAAGTGCCAACCTTAGCCGACGACAATAAATGCATGAACATCTGCAGGCCCTACCACAGTTCTGCAATAAATGCATGAACTGTAGTAGGGCCACGCGGCAGCTTGTTGAACGTATGAGCAGGCTCGCCCGGGGAAGTACCACGACCTCAAAGAGGACCGCCGTGAATTGGAAGTATAATACTTTCGCGTTTCATCTGGTGAATGAAGTAGCTGGAGCCCAATTATCAAAAGGGTTGGCAACGCATCTGCAAACCTTCGGGTGTAGCAGATGTCCATGGGCGGCGGTATTCACACAACCGCCTGCCAATATTCTACGTGAAGATTTTGTTACTGGAGATAGAATTTTGACGTTAGTACTATGGAGCTAGTATCAAATACCTACAGTTAATATTGAAAAGGCCGTTATTGGTTTAGAAGACGATGGTAAATAAAATGGGATGGTCGATAAATTATCACGACGAAGAAAAAGTTTACGCTTTTCCGTAAGAGTGAAATTATATTAATAAAAAATTCGACTCGAATTTATCTTACATAAAAATACGACATGTTGGTCATTAAATAAATTTGTTTCTAGTAAAATAAATATCTTTTTGTTTTTATAAATTACTTTATTATAATTAGAAGAGACGAGAACGTTTCAATACACACTAGGTCTTCGTAAATCTAAAGCCGCGCTTAGATTATACAAGTGACATAGAAAAGTTAGTAAACTATTAGTAACTTATCTTTATAGTAATTTTTGAAGAAAAGAGAACTCAATGGGTGCTCCCATGGGATTAGAATTCTGTTATTAATAAAACTATATTCAGGGCACTCGAGCACACCACCAATTGCGTAGCTGTTGGCTTCGGCGCCGGAGGTTGAGGGTTCGATTCACATGAGACAACTATATTTTGTGTGACTCACAGATAATTGTTTCGGATCTGGGTGTTTGTCCACGTGAAATGTATGTTAATCGTCCTTATAGCAAAAGACAATGTTACCATAAAGTAAGGGGCCAATTTTGTCGAAGGTGCAGTCCATCTTGTGACCATGAATACCTCAATCGTAAGTCGTAACGCTGAGACACAAAATGTAAAATAACCGCGATTAAAACCGTAAATGCTTTTTAATATAATGTATATTAAAGTTACAAACAGCCTACAGCTGGCGATAGGACTCCTGAGGAGTACAGAGATTATTATGGTCCAACACGCGAACCCTCCGCGGAATGGCGGACTTTATATCTTCGAAATATTCATTATTATTTCGAAAATATGTAGGTCTCCCCACGAAGTACTTTCATCGCTGACCGCGGAATAAGTCAGCACTTAAAATTAACAATTAAATAGGTGCCAGCACCGAGATTTGAGCTCGCGTAACTAAACTTTATATTTTTAAAAGCCCAAAAAGAAACTCGTTTATTGAATTAAAATCGAACAAATGAAATTCAATATAACTATTGTGATTATTGCGCATTAACGTAATTCTCGCTATTGGGGAATTTACACGACATAATGTCGTCAATAAACAATCTCTATTTGCATGTTCAGCCTATCGCACTGCACGTCAAATCACACCACGCAATAATGAGAGATGATTAAAAAATATAAAACACCTGCACACTCTGGGCTGCATTGGAAAATCGACCATCTACGTATCGTGGTAAGATTGAGATCGGCGTTATGATTTCATAAATTATCGGAAAAACATATGTCGTTCGTGGAACGTGTGTATGGATAGCAATGAAGCGATCTAGTCGGCTATCAACGCGGCTAGCATTCCTAACGGATGAGTCACGCTGCTAGAGCTATACGTCTTATCTGATTTCTGGCTAAGCAGTCTCAAATAAAGTCCCATTTCAAGATGTAAATTAACCAAACAAGATGAACAGACGTAACGAGATACAACACTGTGCCTCAATATGTTAAAAATACAAATTAATGTTTAGATATTAAAAAAAAAAAAATGGAAAAATTTATATTTAAAAAGCCTTGATGATCAGTGTCTGTTCGATTCCCGGTGCCAGCACCAATGAAATCGTTAATTTTAAGTGCTGAATCATCACGAGCTTGGCGGTGAAGGAAAATATCATGAGGAAACTTGCATATTTTCGTAATAATATTAAAAAAGAATGTTTCTAAAATATGTGAAGTCCACCAATCCTCAGTGGAGTCGCGTGGTGGACTATTCCCTGATATCCTCTTTACAGAAGGGGCCTTTGCCCAGCAGTGGGACATTTATAAGCTGTAACTTTACTTTATATTAAAAAAAAACAATAGTTATAGTTTAGGCCAGCATGTCACCAGGATTTCAGACCAGAATTAATTTCTGTATGAAATAGTCTAATGGCCCAAAAACTACCTTCATTTAAAAAAAAAAGAACTGAACAATTAATGTTTTAAATAATAATATAAGATTTGAAATAGATTATCACATCAAATATTATTTAACCAGATAGAAAGATATGGTAGAAAATGCCATCCACATTAAACACACAAGTTTCACATCCATATTCTTATTTTAATTTAATGTTGTTTAGTATCTAATTATCATCTGAATTTCCAACGATATATCATATAGCAGTATATGATTTACCACACCTGATTAAACCATGATAAAATTAAGCCTCATCACAGTGATAACACTACTGTTTACACATTCCTTTGTGATAAGGAGTAATTGAAACAGAATTTTGAAAAAAAAAAACACTGAATTAACAAACCCACTTATAAATTAATTAAATAAAATGAAACTCAGCTCTCTTATCACTAATGGTGTAGGCAGACATATACTGTCCAATTATTACATGGAAGAGGTTTCCATACACTAGGCACTAATGTGAGATTGGCACTGAGATTTAAACCCATTATTTAATATTTGCAGGCAACATTTATAGCCAAGAAACAGCTCATATCTTATGAGAATAAATTATTATCCACAGAGTAATATGTATTTATCATATAAAGCAAATGCTTAAAAATAAATAAAATGCATCCTATAATGTCATTTAAGTAAAATACAATAAAGGAAGCATTTAATTTGTTTGTCTGACATGGGAAAACAACATTTTATATTTCCCTCATCATATTCTATACCGACTTTTCACTATAAATCTTCCTATAAATTGTAATACATTGTAAATTATTTATTAAATGCTATTAAATATTGATATTATATTAAATACCTCTTTATCAGTATCCACAGCATCTTGAAGTCGCGGTATTCGTCTTTTTGGTATTACTAGGAAGTGAACCGGTGCTTGGGGGCTGATGTCGTTGAAGGCGAGGCAAAGGTCATCCTCATAGATTATGTCGGCTTTGATTTCCTTCGATATTATTTTGTCGAAGATCGTAGGCCCTGGGGCAGCGACGCTTTGGGCTTGGGCGCGACGCACTTCATCACTATACGGACGCCGGACGGCGATGGCCGCCCCGCGTGTTAGATCATAGATATTCGTCGGATAAGTCTTTTTCAGACGGAATTTCAACGCCCGTTGGAAAACTTTATCGAACATTTTTCGGAAAATTACGTTTACCGGGACCTAATCACATCCTCCTCGTTTGGAGGAATTGTAATTTTGACATTTGACAGTTTTGCTTTGACTTTTGACATTATACATAGAGGATTTCTTATTTCTATTATTATAGTTTCCGGCATGGGATTTCTCCATACAACCTATCCATTATTACAGGTTCATTATGAAATATTTTTTTTTATATTATTACTCTATATTTATTTAATAGTCAATTATACCAATTATATTTTATACTACAGATATTTTGTAAACGTGCCAAAAGTAAAGCCACGAAAACGTCCCAGCTATTTTTGCGATAATGTAAACTTTCTCAGCACCCACCGTGCACTAACTTTATAAATGCCAAGATGTTCGCGCAGAATTTCTTAAAATTGTTGTATTGAATACTCCAAGCGTTAATGCAAGCTGCTTAGCCGAGCATATAAGAATAATTTTATTGACTTTTTCGGCCAGCTCCGGAGTGATCACCTCAATTTCCTTCTTTTCTTGTCTTGATGACGGTCGCGATACTTGATTTTGTTTGACTCGTTAAGCCTTTAAAGAGCCTACTATATCTTCCCCCCTCCTACCCACCATTCTGCTAACTTACCCTCTTAAAAACGAACCCTCGTGTTTTTTATAATCTTATAGATTTTAATTATAAAAAAATTATTTAGTTTGTTGTAATTTGATGTAAGACTTCTTTAATTTTCTACGTCTATTGATTATTTTAGTTATGATTCTGAATGCTGTACCTCCAGTTTGTTAATTTCAGAATAAAATTGATTATTACTTTATGATGCGTTTTTCAATTCCTGACCCACCTTGTTAAGATTATATCGAATTTTATTTTACTGGAAATCTTTTAAAAAATCCTTCCTTTTCTTTGCAGAAATCCAGAAATTCTCTACTTTTCCTTTTTCTAACACTGCTCTCTTCCTCGCCGGCCTATCATCTTCACTCAGACTAGAAGATGTTTAGTGCTGGAAGTGGGTGATCGTATTAACATCTTTTTATTTCGATTATACTATGCTGCTATCAAAGTGTACCGCTGTATGTTGTTGCCGCAGAAATATTTGATTTAATTAGCGGTACTTATAAAAAAAATTATGCTACCCCGAAATAAAGACACTAAAATTGTGTTTGCCATGATTAAAACTTACACACAACAGATGTTCCTATCTTTCAGCGGTACAAATGATAATATCGACATTTTTCTTAAAAAAATCATCTTCACATATCATTGATATCTTTAATCGCCATAAATCAATATTGCTTTAGAATATCCAATTCGTATCAATTTCGATAAAAAATATAACACAACTCTAGTTTCATTTATTTCCTCTTGGGCTATTTTCAAAAAAAAAATGGCCCTCACAAAATGTTAATTTGTTGACAAGCGGTCAAATCTAACATTTAATGAATACTGGTTTGAATAAATTGTTCCTGATCTAAAACCGTTCATTTACTTCCGTGGTTCCCACAGAATTTTATAATGAGAATAGTTATCAAGCGAGCAGGCGGTTCACCTGACATTGATTATCACCGCCCATGGACATTTGCAACACTTGAGGGTTTGTAGATGCGTTGAAAACTTTTTAAAAAGTGAACCGCAGTTACCTCTCTCACCATACGTAACGCGAAAGTATACTCCACTTCATTTTATATATTATAAAAAGAAAATTAATCCGTCTAGTGATGAAGATATTTTTTTGGTGTTAAATCGTTGTGTCTTGAACAAATATATGTGATAAGGTAAACAGGTGTAGGCCAATAATCCTCAATAAAATATATGTAAGAAAGAATAAAAGAAAGAAAACACATTTATTTACCAATATAAAATATATGTAAATTACCTGTTTTAAATATTTTGTTTCTTAATCAATTTTTTTATTACAAAAGGGCACCATAGAAATTTAAACAATATTTATTTAAAACAGATTTGTGTTAAACCGATTTATTCTAAATAAATATAACAAAAAATTGAGTGTCTAAAAATAAAGTATTTAATAAGAATTGACGAATTAATATTATAATATAAAGATGACTCTTTATTAAGGCATACAACCCTAGCACCAAAACTTGATCACAATAAATAAGTTAACATGTATCCTACTGGTAGATGTTCAGCCAACTCCTCTGTCAACTGCAGTTAAAAATATATTAATCTAAAGAAGCATGTATTTCCCGAATCTATTTCATAGTGTTTGAAGAAAACATTACAAAATTCGCAGTGTACTGCGGATTTTATTACACGGAACCCTTTACATATTTCTTTACAATAAAATTTCCACATAATACACAAATGTTAAAGTAAAGTAAAAATTTACGCACTAAATATTTGTACAATTAATCTATTATAATAAATAATATAATTATAATTGAGCTGATTAGCTAAGCAAAAAGTGACGCCTGTAACGATTGAGAATCAGTTTAACTCGTAACTAAACTGGTAAATATATTGCCTGAAAAGGTAACATTTCACTTGTGGATTGGTGTAACCATTTTTTGAATTTGAAAATTATAAAATTATAATTCTGCCGGCTCAAAAGACCAAATAAACAATTTATTTAAAATAAAATCTTGATATTTTCATCATTGAGTGGTACTATAATCTAATACAATTACGTTAACATTTTGTAATTTTTAATTTGCATACAAATGAATAAAATATTTGTTATTAATTCTCTATGGTTATATTTTATATTATTGTTACATCGGAATCGTTAGTCTAGTACGTCGTCAACTAAAGGATGATAATTACGGCTGAAGTACTGTTTTTTACACATCGATATTGAACCTGATCGATTATTGATTACTATTCTCATAGACCTTTGAATCGATAATTGCATAATTTTTTAATATGATTACAAACGAAATTTTTGTTGTGGGGTGGCCACAACAAAAATTTCGACTCTATATTCTTTGATTATAATAAACCGATTGTCAATAGTCTATGTTCATTCGTGATGCGTAGCCACCACCAAGTAGATAGGCGGGGCAAACCCAAGAAGTACGATGTTATGTGTAACATACCTACTTATTACGAAAGAAATACGATACTTGATTTTTTGGATCTGTTAAAATTATCATCCTAAATTTGATAAGGTATAATTTCGTTATTACATCTTTATTTATATTAAAATTGTTACAATAATCTAGAAAATGGATACTGTATATCACTTTTGCACAACATAGTAAAACGTCTATGAGTAAAGGGATTTTCTATACATGTGCTGTCACTCGCGAGTACGTCGTGCTGACTATGTACATCAGAAGTCTCAGAGCCCCGTATACAAAGTCACGCATGTACCTGTTCTGTAATACCAGTCTGAACGCTAGCAAAACTGCAAAAACCATTGCGCCTTTGTGAAGGAAATACATTCTGAAAATAAAAATACTTCGATTAAAATATGAATGTTAGTTCCTGTATTTGAGAAAGAACTTAATAAAAAGTGCAAGTATGTAATAACTATAACATTCAAAAGAAATTTTTGAATTTTATAGGATTGTACACAGTCACATGTTTCAGAGAAAATGTGGACTAAGAATCGAAATCTTGACCCAACCAACAAAACATAATCATAAGTACCCGGAGGACCGAGCTTTGCTCGTCGTGTTTTGGAAATTACATTTAGATACAAATTACTGAGTAATGAAATATGCGTAATATTTTTCGATCTTACCGACCTAATAATAAGAAAATATGAAGTGGCGTTTTTCACAAAAGAAACAACTTTAAAAAAAGGGAAAAAAGTAACAAAATAACAAATCGACAAAAAAATTAAAAATAAAGAAAGCAATGATCTGGAATCGAAAAAAAATTAAAAAAATAAATGTGTAAATGATCGTGACGCGAACCACGGCCGTCTGTTTTGGGGCCGCCCGATTACCGACCGAGCTATTATGATATTTTCTTTTGCGGCGAAATTTACCGTCATATTCGAATGATATTTTTTATTCCCTGAAAATAGGGATAAAGGGACATTTTTTAAAAATGAAACCTAGCTAGATCGATTTTTCGCCCCCGAATCTACGCACATACTAAATTTCATGAAAATCACTGGAGCCGTTTCCGAGATTCCGATTATATATATATATATATATATATATATATATATATATACAATATATATACAAGAATTGCTCGTTTAAAGGATAAGATAATGTTAAAGAATTGATAGAACAAGTGAGTCAGTAGGTGTTTTTTTTATATGAGAAGATGGCAAACGAGCTGGCCGTTCACCTGATGTTAAGTAATAATTGCCGCCCATTAACACTCGCAACACCCGTAGGGTTGCAGATGCATTACCACCTTATATTAAATTGGGCCCCGAGTTGCTCACTCACCAGACGAAACAAACGCCGGTCTTTTGTGAGGTCTTGGTAATGGACGGACTTGCCCATTCGTGCGAATACTGTTGCGTGGCCCTACAGTTAAAAGGTACTTAAAAATTACTAAGAACATAACAGTTAACTCCAATGAAGTTTTACAAAGTCAGTAAGACTTCAGGTAAAACAATTTGAATGATTATAAACGCATGTTATAAGAATAAGGGAAAATTATATTAGCTTAGTTTTGTATTAGGAAAAAGATAGAATCTATTTATAACCTTTCCAAGCAGATCGATCTTGCAGAAAAGTTTAAATCATATATAATCATTTTATACTGTATTACCTGCGTAAATGTCGTTTGGCTTCGTCAAGGTCTTGATCTTTTTCCTTGAGGATATATTTTCTTGTTCCTATGACGAAATCCCTGTACAAATCATCCCACCTGAAAGTTTTAGATAGTTTATACATACAGCCCGTCGCAAAGATTTCATACAGAAATAGAAGTTCTAACAACAATTTTTAAATAATAATAATTTGAATTTTATTAAGCTTCACATCACAAAAAGGGTAGCCACTTTAAAAAAAGATGTCTTACTTACAAGGTTTATGTAAAGAAAGAAAAAACGACGAATGATTTAAATTCGTGTTCCTACGATCTATAATATAGACATTTGAATTAGTATTATAAAAAAAATTCTGTGGTGAAAACTGTCTATTTTGTGAGCAAATAAGATTTCTTACGTCTATCAGAGGAATATTATAATTATACAGATTGTTACTACTGACTGAATAGTGTTCGGATCCAGATTGTAGATGGCGCGGTCGTCAGGTGTTAATCGCGCGCGAAGTTTCTTTACGTTATCTGTGCTGAAGCGCCACTCATGTAGCGCGAAAAAGCTGAGCACCTCGTTCATCGCACGCATCTTCTGACATGCGGTGATGAGGCTTAATCTGGCGGAGTAAAAAAACAGGTTAAAAGATATTTCCTTCTACCTTGTCGGGCGATCGAATCATTCTTGAGTTTTGTTTTGCGTCACCGAGCATTGGGCTCATAGTTATGAATGTCAACATTTCCGTGGGCTAGCTAAAATATAGATACTGTGCGTAAAATAGGCAATGAGTAACTCAATAGTTGCCTAATTCAATCTCACCTCCAACGGTCTCCTGGAAGGTTATTATACCTTTTTATCTAATCTTTTATCAATTACGCCCCCAGCGAATACTTTCAGATGTAAAGAAACATTATTTTTAGTAGTAAAATCTTCATGTTATAAATGATCATATTCAATAATACATACTAATATCATTTTAGGAGACATTTATGTACAATGTTCTCTAGTCCCAAAGTAAACAAAGCTTGTACTATGGGTACTAGATAACTGATAAACATCCTTTTCTCATGTAAATAAAAACATATTATACATATATAAACACCCAGACAATGGAAAAGCACTACGTTCTTCACACAATATTTTTCCAGTACTGGGGAACAAACCCACACCCTCGGACCCAGGAGGCAGGTAAGCTACCCACTACGCCATTCGGGTCGTCAACATTATTTCATTATTAATCCAAAGCTTACTTTAAAGATGACTACATTTATAAATAAAAAGTAAATTAGTAAGGTTGATTGTTAATATATAATATAAAATGTACATAAACGTTAAACTAAGAATTGTAGATAGTATTTGAGTAATAAGAGCTGTGGTTTATTTTTTTATAAGACCTTTGAGACTATAACTTGTACCTCCCCATGAGGTGTCGAATACAGATCCCATCGGTGTACCTCAAATAATTTTCGAATTACGAATTTTGCGCTCAGCAATAGGCGTGTCACTAGTTTCGTTTATGATTAAACAGGGCCGGCTTACTTTGGCCAGCACTACAGCCTCTAAATACTCCAGTAATTCAGTAATATATAAAGAATTTCGAATTTGTTCATTTTAGTACAACTTACTGTCTTTTGATGCCGAACAGGCGCATTACGTATTCAGCAGCATGCAATGGCAGCGTCTGAAGGGTGAACTCGAGAACTTTCTGCGTGTACCTATAATTGTTTGGAAATACACTCAGTTAATAGAAATAGAACGCGCGAGCGCCATTTTATAATGTGCGATAGTGAAGACCAGCGCTTGGATACCTTTTTTTCACGTGATAACGTGGCAACTGAGCTGACTAACATTTGAAACACCAGTTGCAGATGCGTTACCACCTTTTAATAAAATGACCCTCAGCTACGTCACTCACCAGATGAAACCCAGAGGTATAACATTTCGAATTCACGCCGGTCTTCTGCGAGGTCGTGGTACTTACACGGACGGGCCTGCCATTTGTGCAACATCCAGGACTGCATACTCATCAGGGTGGATATAGTGGGAACGAATCTTAACTTGGGCGTAGGTCATCAATGGTACATGCGTTGAACTCTCAGAGATCTCACGGTGAACGGTGATGGATTTGTGTCTTTATAGTCGTAAGATATCTCGTAATAGATATTTTCCTATATCTAATATTATATAATAATAAATATATATTTTATTCATAATATTTATTTTATACAGCATGTCTTTACAATCGCGACAATAAATGAACACACATTTACAGGATAACTTTTTAAAATTGTATTAAAAATTTACATTCTTTAAACATCAATATTTACCGAGTTATCAAATTTTCCATAACAAACTATTTAAGTACAACCTTACGTAAAAAACTGTAATGTAAAGTTCATTTGTAAAGGTCACAAAGCATATGAATGGGTTGAAAAATGAATGTGTTTAAAAGAGACAAAACATACTGTTAGAAGGAGAGGCTTGTAATGCGACGCAGTTTAGACACGCCGGACTCACTGCCGGGGGTCCCGCCGGACAACACTACACCCACAGTTAGTGCAACAACAAACACACTAGTTCGCCCTCGCCTCCGAGCACGGCGAGACCAACACAACGCGTACACAAGGTACACCCGCGTTCCGGGGCGGTTCTCACCGTCCCCAGCCACCGATTACCTAATTGCACAGTCGATGGCCATCGGGGCTTCGGTCCGAACCACGACCTCGATGGCCCTTAGATGACGTACCATAGTTAAACGCACGCATGAGCACATGCGCGGCCCTACCCACAGCGGAGGGCCCAAACCCGTGGGTTCTGGCTAGCCCACCGGTTCTGCGTCAGATGAAGCTTTAATAGTCTCGGGACTGAAAGCAAAAACATCAGTTAATACAAGATACAGCGACGCAGTGGCAACGAATGAAAAAGTCTCTGAATATATGAATCAGTCAGTTGTAGTTGTATAGGATGTTACTAATTTTGTATCTTTTTTACTTAATGAGTTTGTTTGAAAAATATTTTTTTAATTATGTATTTTTTAACGTTAATATTTTTTTATGATTATTGGCAAGTAGCGTTAGACGTGTGTTCATTTATTGTCGCCGTTGTAACGACACGCTGTATATGCAATATATATCTATATGTTTATTTTTATCTATAAACCCAACCAGACGAGAAAACAAATGAATATCCCCCCATAAATAATAAATATTTTCGGACACATTTTATACACAACATTCTCTAGTCCCAAACTAAGCAACGCTTGTACTAGTAGAAAACTGATAAACTTAAACATACTTTTCTTTTGTAAATAAATACCCAGACACTGGAAAACCACGATATTCATCACACAATATTTTTCCAGTAGTGGGGATCGAACCCACACTCTCTGACGCAGGAGGCAGGGTCACTACTCCCCACGCGAATCAGGTCTTCAAATATATTTATTATGCTGCACCGTTTTAATCGGTTAGTTTAATGCTATGGACATTCAGAAGGTATACCCCACCTGTTTTCGACGCCCGTGCCGGACGGATACCACAAGACGCCATCCATCGGGAACTCCCTTATGTTGAACCTAAGGGCATTCTCGAACTGCCCCCATGTAGTGGGATTTTCATATGTACTACAATTGTATACACGGACATCCCTCGATCTGCCGAAATAATTTGTTTGAGTTACATATTGTATATAATCTTTTATGTCCGAAAGCTTGGAATGGGATGTAGTTTGAGTATATATTAGTACTCTGTGAATGTATATTACCCAAAATGTTTAATACTTCTGTCATTTGTAATTTTTTCATTTAAGAAGTTTCCAAACGTGCGTTTTTCCCTTTTGTAGCTACAAAAGTTAAAGTCGCAAAAGACATTAAAAAACTCATTTATTTATATTTTGAATAATATACAAGAAATTAAAATAACAAAAAATCTCCTTGCTTACGATTATACACTCCAAACTGACATCTCTGTAAAGAAGGCTACAAAGCAAAGTTTACAGCAGCTTTAAGCAGCTAAAGTGCGGACCACTTTCACATTCATATGAATACTAGCTTTTCGCCCGCGGCTTCGCTAGCGTTGAAGCCCTTAAATCTTTCTTTAACCTTTCAACCCCTTACAACACTTTTTTCCAATTAAAAAATAGCCAAAGGGTCTAGACTATCTGTGTACCAAATTTCATTTAAATCGGTTCAGTAGTTTTGGCGTGAAAGCGAGACAGACAGACAGAGTTACTTTCGCATTCATAATATTAGAATGGCTGAGCTAACAAAGCTCACATTTTTTTCTGGGAAATGGTGACAGATGTGCCCATGGGGTTGCAGATGCATTGTCAACCTTCAAAAGTCGACCCGTTTACCTTATTGACAGGAGAATCGCAAAATGTGTAAAGTGGTAATTGCCGCATAGACTCTTAACAGTATTTGCGTCTATGAGAACTATTTTGTATTTTAGAGTTCGTTATAACTAAAAGTTCTCATAGTTTTCTACAGCGCAGGTGAAAAAACTACTTATATTAAACATGAAGGGGAGTTTATAACGGATGGGCTTTACGAGTATTCGGACGCCAATAATTGCATGGAGTCCAAACCGTATAATCTAACGAGAAAAGCGTCAAAACTTTCATCTTTTCTTAATATTACTCAAACCATTAAACTTGAATGTATAATGTCGATGTTCTTCGATTAACTTATTAATTTCATCAAGTTACTCAGAAGCTACTTATACGTATACGATCACGTAAAAACAACTTGTGCTAATTTGCACTTAAAAGATATGAATTAATTAAAAAAAAAAATGAAAATTTTCACGTCGTGTGATCACCAGCCTGAATTAACTGAATTAACTGGAACTTCTGGGCGCGTAGCAACACCTAGGTTCGAATCCCATAACGTCGAAAAAGTTATCCACAATTTATAAATAATACCTATAAGAGTTGAGGAAACTTTTGTTTGATCAAACAGTCTGTATTTAATATATCTTTTTCAAACACTTGTGGTACATTAAGAATATTATTATATATTTAATTTTTTTTTATAGTGCTTATCTCTGCCTTTAAGATTAAACATTAAAATTTGTAGAAAAAGTACGAAAAGATTGTCGCCGCTGTGGGAATCGAAGGCACATCTTCGGCATTCGCGGCCTGACGCTTTAGGCACTAAGCTATACGACGGATTGCCACACCGACGAACATCTTAACGTCTTTTATCTACATTGATTTTTAGAATTTGAAGCAATGCTTAGCGCATCCATTGTTTTATCCTTTCCAGCATAAAAACAATTTCGAATACCGTTTTACAACGTTAATTCGAACGAGAGATGTCGCCATTGCATTTTAGAAAATTAATTATATGCTAATCTTTGCACTTAACGATTAAACATTAAAATTTGTAGAATTCCGAGTCGATTCCCACAGCGGCGACAATCTTTTCGTACTCTTTATAATAAAATTAATTTTAATTATAATATTAATTAATAGGTACAGGTTTAATTTTATTTTATCGAAGATATACAATATGTTTATACCATTGAATAAATTAATAGGCAGTATATTTTTGATTTATGTTTACAATGCAATTGTGTGACGTCTTAATAAAGGGAATCGTCTAACTCACTTCTCTATGGCTGTCTCCCAGGAGGCGGCGATTAGCGTGTCTATGGCTATGTCAACCGGAAGCATGTCAGCCCTAGCGGATTCCTTCACGGAGAACACGTGCAGCAGCCCTTTGCCGGCAGCCGCTATGATGCCGCTGGGGCCGTTCAGGTTCTCGATCCACCCAGGGAATGGGTTCCGCAGGGATGAGACCACTAGTGAGTTGAAAACCCATTGAGTAAGTGTCTTTCGCTACAAATATATAATATCGCAATATAAATATATAATATAATGTCGCAATCCTCGCTTGTTACGATAAAAAGGTAAAAAATACCAGAATACGTGCAATATCTAACTAAAATGCGTGTTTTTATTAGTGTTGATTCTCATAGTAGTTCCACGATTACTAATCTGAATAAACCTCTAAAACATGTGTTTATTAATGAAAAATACTAATATTGTTTAACAAGATCCAGCAAATGTTGAAAAGATCAAATAAATGAGACATGAGTGTTTCAGTGACAAGGGCGGAGTGATAAGCCTGGTAAAAATCTACTTGGGAATAAAATTATCACAAATTGCATGAAACCTCCTTGTTCACAGCTCTTTTGAAGGACTAAATAAAAGTTTTCAGCCAGTTATCTTTTTTTGACAGCCATTAAAGATCATCAAAACTTAATTATAAAACGCATTTTGGTAATGATCTGTGAGATCATGCACGAAGCTAATTTATATTTGAAGGGTTGTCTAATTCGTATTTCATGGGATAAATGTTAAATCTAGAGACGGAGATGGAGAGCCGGATGAAGTACATTGGGCTAGAAGGTTACTACGTTGAAAGATAAATAAAATTTATTAAATAAAATTTAGTTGTTTAATTTTTACAACAAATATCACCCTAGAATATCACAACTAACAAATATCACTCCTCCATAGTAAAAATAACATAAAAATTTTAATATTTTATGTTATTTAAATGTGACTGTGAAATTATGGATACGGGACTGTCTCCAAGCCGAAGCAACCTCCAAACTTAACTTTTGATATCGAAATGGATTATTTTGATTACCTATAGTGGGACGGAATATTCCGATGGGGTAGCGCTGGTTACCATGGATGCGTACAGCCTCCTCCGCCATTGCCTTCGTAAAGGTGTATGTATTGGTTTTCGGGGATATATACCTGAGAATGACATTTTTGTATCTTAGTAAAGAAATATCTTTAATTATAATGTTTCCTTATAAATACGGGAATATTGTTCTTGTTTGCTTGTTCAGTTAATAAACATCTTCTACGAATTAATATTTAATAATATTTAAATATTAATCGTCAAAATGTTCTTAATTAAATAAAGCTTACACTTAATAATTATAGTTTAAAAGTGCTCAATAATCCATCATATTTTAATGATATAACTCATAATAAACGTTTTGACGACTTCACGGCGCAGTTCTCAAAGTATTGGCTTAAGCGCCGGGGGTCGTGGACCCGATTCTCACACGAGACAATTGTTTGTGGGACCCACAGAAAATTGTTTCGGATGAATAAGTTTTCCGTGGACAAACACCCTGAGTGAACAAAAACGTCCTTACAGTATAATGTTATCCTACAGTACGGGGGCAATGTTGTCAAAGGGAAGACTACAGCAAAACTTTTAAGGTCGCAGTCAGGGCCGTATTTAGGGGAGGGCAACCGGGGCCACAGCCCCGGAGCCTCCACGAAAGAGACCCCATAATAGATTTCGGAAAAAAATTCAGACTATTAAACAAGTTTCGTTCGTTAACGCTAAATTTCAATTTTAGATAATTCTTGTTTCCAAATTATATTTATATGTTCGTTAAATAATAAAAGAATCTATACTTGGTTTCACAATAAATATTTATTGGAAAACTCCACTGAAAAAATTGTTCATTTCATTTGGAAAATAATTTGGAGCCAAGGGGCCTCCACTCCTTTGTTGCGCCGAAGTCCGCAGACCTCTAAACCTGGCCCTGGTCGCAGTGGTCGTTGGGACTTATTACTCAATCGTTTCCACACTAATAAGTAATTTTCTATTACTATCAGGGAACAAACAAAAGCATTTAAATTAGATTTTAATTAAATTTTTAATTTATAACATCAAAAGTCCGAAACAAAATGTATAATTCACAAAACGAAACGGATAACTCTTAATTAAATAACTTCAAAAAAGCAAGCAACAAAATATGTGACATGTTACTGATTCTTGAGATTACAGGCCACAAAGTTAAAAGTAAAGTAACAGCCTGTATATGTGCAAAGGTCTCATCCGTACAGAGGGTATTAGAGCATAGTCCTCGTGCAGATTGGCAGATCTCATATATGTATATTGGAGATATTTTTTTTAATTTTAAAGTTTTTTATAGTGCTAATCTCTGCACTTAAGATTTCTACATGTTTTAATAGTTTTTTTTAATGTTATATAGACTCAATAAAAGAAACTTACTGTGCAGTAATGTTAGGTAGCAGAGCCGGTGGCACGACTTCTAGCAATGATAGCAGCTGCTGCAATTCCGTGGGAGGAGCATATACCCTCTCCTCAACATGGGACAGTTCCGAGTTGCTGTACGCCGTGGAAACGTGCATGAAAACCTAAAAAGTTTCCAAAGATCTATCGATGTGTCCCTTTGAACATTGCGAGTATGATGGTACATAAATAAATATTGGTAATAAGAACGTATTATTCTTGTCTGTTTAAAGTTAAAAATTAGATATTAAACCATTGTACTATTCTTGCTTGTTTTTAATTAGAAATGAGATATTTAGTGTGAATTCTAGTAAAAGTAAAGTAGCATCCGTATACGTATAGGCTGGGTTCTCACGATACAGACTAAGCCTAGACACAAGTTACATCTTGTTTTCTCTAGTGCTGCAGTCCAAATGTTCTGTTAATTTGATAATTGGAAATACTTCCATTGAAATGTATAATATATTGTTACTTTGGACTAAACTAAATAACTTTTATTATTATTATAGAGATTTTTCTTCTCGACACGGTGTCGGTTTTTTCTTACGATACGGGCATACGCTAAGTATCATGTTGCCATTGTGTTTTATGTTTGTGAATGTTGCTGTGTTTTTGTGTGATTATAATCTTGACTGTTGTGTGTGGTTGGGAAGTTGGGTTTAAGAATCGGTGTACTATGGAACATGTGCCTAAAACAATTGTTTTTTGGAGGGGTATGCAGCATGCCGTTATAACCACGGCAATAAATGAACACACGTCTAACACTACTTGCCACTAATCATGAAAAATATAAACGTTACAAAATCCTTAATTAATCTTTTTTTTTCCAAACAAACTAATTAAGTAAAAAAGAAACAAAATTTGTAACAGCCTATACAACTACAACTGACTGATTCATACATTCCGAGACTTTTTCATTCGTTGCCACAGCGTCGCATTACAAGCCTCTCCTTCTAACAGTATGTTTTGTCTCTTTTAAATTCATTCAACCCATTCATATGCTTTATGACCTTTACAAATGAACTGTACGTTAGAGTTTTATACGTAAGGGTGTTTTAAAATTATTTGTTTTGGAAAATTTTATAACTCTGTAAATATTGATGTTTAAAGAATGTAAATGTTTAATACAGTTTTAAAAAGTTATCCTCTATATGTGTGTTCATTTATTGTCGCGATTGTAAAGACACGCTGTATGTGTGTTCATTTATTATCGCGGTTGAAACGACACTTATGTATTGTTTTTTTTATGTGAAAAGTTGCCAAATGAGCAGGCGGTTCACCTGATGTTAAGTGAATACCGCCACCGATGGACATCTGTTACACCCGATGGTTGCAGATGCGTTGACAACTTAATGAAAATTGGGCTTCGGCCACCTCAGGCACCAAACGAAACGCGAAAATATTATTCTTCCACTTTACGCCGGTCTTCTGTGAGGTCGTGGTACTTACCCGGACGAGTCTGCCCATTCGTGCAACAGCCGAGGCTGATGGGTGGCCCTACCACCGTACAATGAAGTCTAAGATTTTAAGCGCTGTTTTAAGTGATTTCGGGATGATACCGGTTGCTGAAATAATGACGGGGGTGAAATATTATAATTATATGGGGGGGGGGGGGGGGGGGATATTCATTTGTTTTCTCGTCTGGTTTTATTATATTATTATTTTTATTACAATTATAGGCCACCCCGCAGGGAAAAGGTCCTATCTGGCTGTAATGTGTATGTATACAGTAAGTGAAATGTTTAAAAGAAAAACGAATAACGCTAACACACTTATTCGAGCTAGTAAAATTGAATATACCATAAACTTAAACAGTTTATTCGCGAATAGTACCTCAACGTGTGGTAGCTGGTCGCAAAGCTCCATCACCCGTATTGCAGAGAGCACATTCTGTCGTACAGCCATTGGTAGAGGCTCGTCGAACTTCAACGTTGCGGCCGAATGGAACACGACTGACACCTGAAATGAAAAGTGACCGTTAAGGCGCTGTATGCATTTGAATTTTCTACTATTTGGGTGGTGAAGGAGGGGAGCGGGGGACGGTGCCTCCCGCACCAAGTGGGAGGCACCGCACGAGTTTCTTGGACGCGCCGCGTGACCTTTATTCATTACCTATTAGGGGTGGGCCGTAGGATACTATCGATAGTATCTTAGGAGGCTTTCGAAATGTACACAGACGATCCCTATATATCATCCATTTATTTAAATTTACTTGAACTTATCCATTCGTGTATGAGCTAAATGTTTAACTTTAGTGGAGCGACATTTTGTAGAGTATATACATTACAATATTCTGTAAGTCGAATAAAGTAACAGGCGAAGTTGATCAAGGTCATCTTCTTCGAAATTCATTGTTTTACTTTTACGGTGGTAGGGCCACGCAGCAGCCTCGGCTGTTGCACGAATGGGCAGGCCCGTCCGGGTAAGTACCACGACCTCACAGAAGACCAGTGTAGAGTGGAAGTATGAGAAATACTTTCGCGTTTCGTCTGGTGAGTGAGGTAGCCGGAGCCCAATTTTCAAAAGGTTGTCAACGCATCTGTAACCCTCGGGAGTGGCAGATGTCCATGGGTGGCGGTATTCACTTATCATCAGGTGAACCGTCTGCTCGTTTGACAACTTTTAGCATAAAAAAAAAAAAAATTTGTGATTTTTTTGGATCGTCCACTGTTGGCCTTGAGGGACACTTCACTTACAGATCCGGACCCACCCAGGGCCGGATTTTGTCCTCCACAAAAGAGGGGCCCCTATAATAGGGACTTTGGAAAAAAAAATTCTAATTCAGACTAGTAAACCCCAGTAAACAACTTTACCCATAGTACTTTGTACAAACATGATTACATTAACAGAAATCAATGGAAAATAATTTGGCCTCCACTAAATCCGACCCTGGAACCACCGGGTTTGAGGTGGACAGGCGCTGAGGGCGCCTATACTGTGACTAGATTATGGATGAATTTTTTTTTCTCTCAGTCCGAAGCGTATTATAGTTTGAAGGCAGAATTCGTGGGTCGCGAAGGGGCTGGGTAAGCCATAGGACCGAGTATGTCAGGCCGCTCATGCGAGCGTTATCTTAGAGCCATTTTACTACCTTAGGTATATATTTTTATATTCACACCGCTCATGCGAGCGTTATCTTAGAGCCATTTTACTACCTTAAGTATATATTTTTATATTCACAATTTAAAATTAGACTGATCTTTGATTTTGTCCTTTCACATTTCAAAAAACCAACTTTGTTTCTCTGTGGCGATCAATCTCCCGCAACTCGTTTGCTGAAAATTCAATCAATCTTCACAGTCAGTTTCCGATTCCAAAGTTTATCAATGATATAGATAAAATTGGGAGAAAAGGAATACATTCCTTTTAAAAAAAAATAAAGAACTATGCCCAGTTTCCGTAAGGTCAATCAAAGTAGCAATCACATAACATTAAAACAAATCAGCTGCTAATTTCTTGTTTAGCTCAGTTGGATTTCTAAAAGGTTCGTTCAAGAAACATTATTTAATCACGAACTAACCAAGGTAATGAATAAAATGAGTGCTACGAATATATCCGAATGAATAAAATTATAGCTGTCTCCTTTAAAAAAAAGTAAAAAAAAACGTCACTGTCATGTGTCACCGTGTCATTGTTGGCGTAAAAATCATATTATTTTAGAATGCGGCTTAAATTGGCCGTCATAAAATGAGAAAATCAATATTCATTCATGTGAATCATTAATTTTATTCATTATCATTAGTTAAATAGTGATTAGCTAATTTTTCTTGAACGAGCCTTTCAGGAATCTAAGATAGCCTAAAAAAAAATTAACAGCTGATCATTTTAACATAATGTGCTTCCTGCTTTGATTGACCTTTCGGAAACTGGGCTAATTAAAATGGCTGTGTATTCTACATATAGAAGTACATGTATTAAATATTCATAGAATCATTCTTTTCATCATATAATTATAAAAACGGAGCAAAAATGAACAACCAGAAGATTTTCTTAGATATTTGAAACTCTTTTTTTTATGCTAAAAGTTGTCAAACGAGCAGACGGTTCACCTGATGATAAGTGAATACCGCCGTCCATGGACATCTGCCACACCCGAGGGTTACAGATGCGTTGACAACCTTTTGAAAATTGGGCTCTGGCTACCTCACTCGCCAGACGAAACGCGAAAGTATTTGTCATATTTCCACTTTACGCTGGTCTTCTGTTAGGTCGTGCTACTTACCCGGACGGGCCTGCCCATTCGTGCAACAGCCGAGGCTGCTGCGTGGCCCTACCACCATAAAAAACTATTTGTTTCTTTATCATTATTGTATCATTGGCGATATCATATGGACCGTCAATTTCCTTAGAAGAATAAGAAAATGGCTGTGTTCGCGCACTAAGCTTTTAATTCAACATATTCGAGCAATATGAGTTAAGAAAAATATTTCGTAGATAATAATTATGTGAAGTGCCAATCCGCAATGGGGTCGAGTGGTGCACTATACGCTAATACCCTCTGTGCAGAGGACACCTTTTTCCAACTGGAAGAGTGGGACATGTATATACTTTATTACACTGTTTTACTGTTTCAATACTTTCTCAGGGAATACGGCAGTAGATGTTCTAATATACCTAATATAATTATGTACTTAATCTTTTTTATTATTACGTGTTTTATCATCAGTAGGATGCAGCTCTCTATGATTTAGCTACGATAAAGGCCGTACAATAGCTAATAGTACTTTAATTACAAACTCCTCTTTGGCGTGCGTAGATATTATAAGGTGATCAATCAAAATCAACATATACGCCACAATTGATCAATAAAGAGTGAAGGTCTCATTAATAAATGATTAACGACCTGAACAAGTGATGTATGGAAATATGAAATCATTATTAGTTATTAAGATGCTTGATTAATTACGTACGTTAGAGTTCATATAAATGTTGACGCGTTCGAGACACATGCTCGAATGTTATAGGGTTTTACCATGCTTGATTGCTTTACGAGATTCATAATGATTTCTAGTATTCACTGGGACACTTTACAATCTTAAATAAAAAATTGAAAATTGTTTCGATGATATCGTAGCGTGATGAGTACGCATATTTTTGGCTGACAGTATGTAATCGTTTACCTTATTTTTTTTTATTGTGATGTGAATATTACTGTTTGCTGTTTTGTGTACCGAATAAAATAAAATAAAAGTGTAGGTGGTAGGGCCACGCAGCAGCCTCAACTGTTGCACCAGGCTCGTAGGGGTAAGAACCACGAAGGGTGTAGCAGATGTCCATGGGCGGCGGTATTCACTTAACATCGGGGGAACCGCCTGTCCGCTTGGCAACTTTTCAGATAAAAAAACTGTTTTACTGATTTTATTGCACATTTTTTTTTTTCGAAATTGACGAGTTTACGAACATTTTACAGCGTTCATAGTCCCATGATTAAGCTGCTTTACGCCATAGCATGCTATAAAGTATTTAAAACTTTATTGTTGTTTGGTATTTAAAAATAATTTCTATTTGACGATTATTTGGTATAATGTTATCTCGTTAAGAGCAATTATCAATTATTTAGAACCCCTGGAATTTTTTTTATTTAACAAACCTCACACCATATAAATGTGTTCTATATACAAGCTGGTTTTTTTGACGAAGTACATACTTTGAAATAATGGTAATTGAGCATTATTAGATAATTCAATTAAAAATATTCCATAATTCAAAAAAATATTAATATTTATTTTGACAAGAAATATTCAGAAAAATATCAATAAAAATATTATTTGTTTATCCCGTTAAGAGTGGTCACCCTATTGATAAGCGGTTTAGTAATTACGCGTTCGGCGAACAGTTTTAGTGCTCGTGAATAGGTTATTGTACTGAGATGGTAAGACAGGAATTTCTAATAGGGTGTCCATAATGTGTGAAAAAATTAAAAATAATCTTGGAAAAAAAATTTGGTCACAAGTACGTACCAGATTCAGATTTAAAATCAAATTCTGCATATGCTCTGTTAACATGTCCGTCGTCTATAAAGTCACCCTGTATATATATGTGTATTATAACTAGTGATATGCCGGATCATTACGGATACGGATCATTGGCATCAAAATGATTGGATACAGATTTTAAATTAATATCCAGGAAAATCTCAATATCCACCATCCTTGATTTTGTGTCTGATTCGAAGGATAAATTAGATTTTAGTGTTTCAGAAATTGATAAAAAAAATTGTTTCAAGTAGCCACATTTTTAGACCCACGGGTCAAAGGAATAGAAAAATTGCTTACAACTTGGGAAAATGAAGTAAATCTCAAAGCAACTTCAAAAAGTACTAAGGAAAAACCAATGATTTTTGCCAGAGTCTATGGCTAACATGTTAGATAGTGATGATGATGATTAATTTAGATACGAAAACTCATTTGCTCATTCAGTATAATGGCAGAAAAAATATTATCAAGAGAGCCACCATCCACTAAAGTATTGGCAGATTAATAGTAAAAAGTTTGGAGGTCTCAGTCATACGACTTGACCGAGAACCTCTGCCTCTAGAGCCTGAGGGTGTGGGTTCTATCCCCACTACTGGAAAAATATTGTGTGATGAACATAGTGTTTTTCCAGTGTCTGGGTGTTTATAAATGTATAATATGTATTTATTTACAAAATAAAAGTATGTTTATCAGTTTCCTAGTAGCTATAGTGCAATCGTTGCTTAGTTAAAGAACGTTGTGTACCACATATTTATCTTTTATCGTGACTTTTGGGGGATAAAGCTGAATAGAGAAGAAAGACTCTTTTTGAAGTACAATTTACGATTCCTTTAATTGTCACTGTGTTTTAATTAAAAGTTATCACTTTTAGTGTCAAAGTATATTAATTTACTTAATAAGAATTATCATTTTATTACGATTATAAATATCCATAAAAGATCCGTCAAAAATGTAGCGGATACGGATACGGATCGTTTTTCCGACGGATATCCGCGGATACCGATGGATATCCGGAACATCACTAATTATAACATGCATAACCTAGATTGATTAAAATCATACTTTTGGAATAGAAAATATACTACATTGAAAAAAAAAGGGCGCATAACCGGAATTTGTGGTCGTACATTTTTGGGTATTCATCACATCAACTGAACCGCTAGCGGGCGGCTTATCCATAAAAACACCCCGTGAGGACATCACTGTATAGTCGCTATCAAAAGAAAGTGGTGTTAATAAATATATATCTTTATATATATAATTGTACTGTACTGTATGTCACTGAACTCCTCCTAAACGGCTTGACCGATTTTAATGAAATTTTGTGTGGCTTCAGGTCGATTCCATAATGGTTCAAATTCACAATTCGGTGAACAACCTAAAAGTAGTCGAAATTAAGTCGTGTGTATAGGACACCGTCTGAACGGTCCGCTAGTATATATATACATATATATATATATATATATATATATATATATATATATATATATATATATATATATATATATATATATATATATATATATGTATATACAGAGTGTCTTTACCATCGCGACAATAAATGAACACACATATAGAGGATAACTTTGTATTAAAGATTTACATTCTTTAAACATCAATATTTAACGAGTTATCAAATTTTCCAAAACAAGGAATTTTAGAACACCCTTACGTATAAAACTTTAATGTAAAGTTAATTTGTAAAGGTCACAAAGCATATGAATGGGTTGAATGAATTTAAAAGAGACAAAACATACTGTTAGAAGGAGAGGCTTGTAATGCGGCGCTGTCTCAACCAATGAAAAAGTCTCTGAATGTATGAATCAGTCAGTTTTAGTAGTATAGGACCTTACAGATTTTGTTTCTTTTTTACTTAATTAGTTTGTTTGAAAAATATTTTTTTTTAATTATGGATTTTTTTAACGTTAATATTATTTTAAGAATATTGGCAAGTAGCGTTAGACGTGTCTTCATTTATTGTCGCGGTGGTAAAGTCACGCTGTATATGTGTTAAATAGAATATGTCATGGTTATAACTAGGTCCACAACCTCTCGCAGTTGATGTAACACGGATGGCGCCAAACCCAGCCCGGGCTCCGCAATATCCCCTGCAACCATCCTCAGCTTGTCCAGCTGCTCCGGTCTATTCTGACGAATGACGTCGAAGACCTGAACAAAAACAAGCACGTTAAAAGGGAACCATGGACGTTAAACGGTGTTTTAGATTAATTGTATACTGTTAAGGATATAACAATAGATTCGCCAAGCATTGGTTAAAATGTAAAACACAATGTAGATTAAAACACGTTGAGATTTTCTTTGGTGTGGCAATTAGTGGCTAAAGCTCAATCCGGAGGACGTGAGTTCATTTCCCGCAGCAGCGAAAACAATTTCTCCTTTCTTTCTGTGCATAGATTAGCACTTTAAAAGTGTTTAATTTTTTTTTAAACATTTAACAAAACCAAAAGTCAATAGCGCAAGTTTTCCTGGTTTATTCAAATGTGTATGTCACTGTACTCCTCCTACACGGCTGGACCGATTTTTTAAAGTTTTTTTGTGTGTCTTCACAATTCGGTACACTACAATGTTTTTATTTTAATGTTTTGTTGTGGGATTTAAGTCGTGTGTACAGGGCAGTCTGTCAGTCTCTAGTGTTCTATAAAAGTTCTCTTAAATTTATTCGAAATTCCCTCTAAGCACGATTATAAGAAATCGTATAAGAATATCTAAAGAAAATACTGGAGAGGAACTTGATAGAATTAAAGTTTATATAGGAGTTCAGATTTATTTAAATAAATAAGATAAAATAAAACGTCTTTAATGTCAAAGATTTAATAAACGCGCGTCATAAGTAAGTAAATAGTCTGTGGTCAAACAGTAGCACAGAGTAGAGATTGTTGCCAACAAAGGATTTTAAATTTCAGTTTAACTGAAGTCAAGGTCAGGTTCGTCATAAAATACACTAAAAATATATTTAACAGTTGGACTACGACCACTAGGCTATCAATAGAATATTTAATCCTGTTTGAGCATTGTTTTATCGTAAGGAATACGCTACTATCTAAACAAAAATGGTAATGCTGGATGTACCTGAGACTGCTTCAGCATCTGTAGGCGCTTCTCTGGAGGCACTCCCTTCTTAGGACGCAGCAGAAGATGGAGATGACCGATGTCTGGACAAGTGGATAGCAACCTTTCCACTAGGACCTGCGTGCAAAGGTAAATTTTAATTGTGTTGCTTATTTTGTTGTATCCCTGTTATGGCTACGCAATTTTTATTTTGGGGAAAATTTCGCGGCATTTATACTGGAATATAAAGGGACATAGATACCACGGCCTGTAATTCTAACTGTTGTTTGCTTGTTATCTCGAAAAATCTTCAACGGCAGCGCCCTCATAGAAGGATCCTCCTACACCACGACACTGCTTCAACGCACTCCGCGATATGAACAATTGAATACTTGATTATGGCAGGTGTCGATATAATGAGCCGTCCCCCATATAGTCCCGAACGATAATTATTTCATCAACACCACAAATCAGATGCGATATAAAATTGAAAATTCAACTGACATGAAGCTACCTCAATAAATTTTTCTTACTATAAATAAGAACATTATCAAGAAAATAATAATGACTTTAAATAACACAAAATCTATGACTTCATATTTACAAAATTAATTAATTCCTGTAATAATGAAATAAGTGAAATATTTTCATTTCTTATTAATCTCTCTTTAGAAGGAGGGACAATTAAAATTTTCAATTTTAAAACCGTTACACCAAAATTAGTCCCAGTACTTTCAAAATTATTCGATAAAGTTATACACTACATTACTTCCTTTTTCACTAAATTAATGTAATAAAACTAAATCAGCATGGTTTCCAAAAAAGTAATTGACAACACATGCTGTCAAAAAAATTATACAACAGTACTATTTCTTGATATGTCTAAAGCATTCGATCGTGAATCACATGATTAGTCACTTGTCAAATTAGAGGCTAATGGAATAAGGGGTCCTGCGTACAACTGGCTAGATAGTTAAAATAGGTCACAGTGTATTGAAATGATACAATTAGACGCAAATAATAAATAAAAATCATACGCTCAGGTATAAAGATTAGAATTCAAAAAAATCACTTCACTTTCGGCGTTCCCCAAGGTAATATACTCGGACCACTGTTATTTTTATAACACATAAATGATTTACCTGATTATGTCTCAAATTACAAAATCACTTTATTCGCCGATGACATCTCAGTGACGATTACGACAAATAAAAAAAATAGACACACTAGAGCAACATAAAACGGACATAATTAAAACAGTGAATTCAATAGATAAATGACTTAATAAAAATAATCTACACATTAATTTAAGTAAGACACATATCATTAATTTTTATCACAGCGCACTTTGCATAATGTAGAATCTGTTATCAGAAACGGACTTATAATTTGGGGTAATGACACAGAATGTCAAAAAGTATTTTTAGCTTAAAAGCGCTGTATTAGAGCTATTGGCAACATTTCATCAGACACATCATGCAAGACTTAATTTATGACTTTAAATATACTTCCTTTTCCTTGTCTCTATATGTTTGAGGTTTGTAAATTTGTAAAGCAAAAAAAATATATGTTTTTACAAGCGGAACCAAAATAAATTAGCACTCCCAAATTGTGTCTACACAATTCCAAAATATAAGCGCTTTCAAAAAATAGCTATACAAGGAGCAATACTATAACAAGATATCCTCACGTATAAAACAATTACTATATAATAATGTTTAAAATTTCTTTACGACGATGGCTGTTAGAGAAACCATTTTACACCATAAATGAGTTTTTAAATTGTTATGTCTAAATGATGTTCCTATTATTTTACTTACTCTTTTTTAGTTTAAAAATCGATGCATTAATTAATTAATATATCTATTAAAATTGTATAAGGACGTTTTCAGTTATTTGTAAAAAAATTAGAATTAACTGTATTACAAATATATCTGGATATTTGCATGCTCTTAAAAACACCTTGAAATTTGTGACGACAACGAGGTAACAAGACCAAAATATTTTCTGTACCTATTTACTACCAAATAAAGAAACTTAAACTATAAACTATTAACTTACTTACATTCCACATAAATAATTAAAAATAAATAGTATTATGTTATCGCTGAGGTTAGTTCTACAAAAATAAGACACATAGTTACTACACGTATTATAATATACATGGTATATCCATAATATATTTTTTTTTACAAATTAACTTTAAATTAAAATTTTATACGTAAGGTTGTTCTAAAATTCCTTGTTTTTGGAAAATTAGCTAACTCGTTAAATATTGATGTTTAAAGAATGTAAATCTTTAATGCAATTTTAAAGAGTTATCCTCTATATGTGTGTTCAATTATTGTCGCGATTCGGTCAGACACGCTGTATATATATGTATATAATTTTAATTGGTTTAAGCAAAGCGCACCACACTTTTTGTATTAACTATTGGATATAAAAGGCGTGACAATGTTATTAATAATTCACAAAGGTGAATTACCCACCACCCATAATATATTGTTTGCGTTATCTGTATGAACTTAATGAAATTTAAATATTGGAGAAGGTAGAATGCAAAAGTAATTATATTTTACCTAATTAAAAAAAATAGTACTTAATAAAAGCACGTGTTTTAATTTTTGTCTGTAATCTGTCTCGATGTCACACAGTTGATGTTAATTTTTTCTTCGTTATATAGTTTCCCCTCTCCAGTCGTCGTTTTCCGTGTGTTGCTATTTCCAGTCATTTATTATTTTTTTAACTTCTTGTTACTCCCACAAATAATAGACAATTCAACTGTCAATCTCCCCAGTGGAATTTCCTTGTTCGGAAGCAGGGCTACCAAATACTAGGGATACAAAAAAAAATTCCATATCGGTTTACAAATGAAAGGCTTTTGAGGTAACAAACACATAAATAACTAACCGTATTGAAAACATCCTCCTTTTTGAAGTCTGTTAAAATAAATGTTGCCGCAGGCATTTGGGAACATTGGCATAATGCCGTAGGCAATTATTAAAACATTTTGAGGTGCTTCATTATAATATAAATGGCTCAAACTTTATGCGTATTAGCTGTCTAGTTTAATAAGTCCATGTATCAAGATCCACGCACCGTTGTTAAAGCAATAATTTATTATCTGCCCGATGTTTTTTAGGGTTCCGTATATTTTGCCATTTCTGTTGCCGCTATAACAACAAATACTAAATAATAAAATACCGAATAAAAACATCTAAGTGGGGCTCCCATTCAACACACATGATTTTCTTTTTTGCAGTTTTTATACATAATGGTACCCTTAGTTCGCGAGTCCGACTCGCAGTTGGGTGGGTTTTTGAAAAGATTATTTAGTAGTAGATGTGAACCGTTACATAATTATGTAAATTCATTTGCAAAGTATCAAGAACCGTATTTTTATACTTAATCAGCAAAATCTATTTCAATATTATGATTAATTCGATCTAACGATATTTTATTTAGGTAATTAATGGTTTGAATAAATAAATATATGAGTTATGAAATAAATATATGTAATCTCACTAAAATTTAATCTGGCGTGCATACGTGATTTTGTAAAATGTAAAGGATGTTTTCAATACGGTTATTTTTTTTGTGTTTTCTACCTCAAAAGTCTTTCATTTATAAACCAATTTGGAAAATTATTTAGTAGCCCTAGTATTTGGTAGGGATATACTTTTTTTTTAATAGCTTCCGAACAACGGAATTCCACTCGGGAGATTGACAGTTGAAACAAGAACTCATATTATTATATAGTATTTTCATTTTATTTTACCTGCCACAGAATCAACATAAACATGATTTTTATATAAATCAATGCAAACTCGAAATGTATAACAATTTGTTTTATCGACAAAGAATACTATAACAGAGACTTGAATTTATCGACAAAATTTTATTTATTAAACCGGTTTTTAACCGCGTGGCATACGTAATATATATAATAATCATACACATTTATATTATTAATGCCATGTATTTATGTGGTTGGGGGTAAAAAGAAAATGGTATGAGACAATACCCTCCAACTATATACTTCCGATTGTATATCGCTGATTTCAGTGAGAAGGTCGACGACCCGTAATGTCAAGGATTTTGGCGTTCAATATTGAACCTCTGATGCGTCTAGAAGTAATTCTATATTACTTTTATTTTTTAAAGTTTATTTCTTCTTTTAAAGTTTTCTCGACAATTTGAAAAACATTTCCGATCTTTTACAATCTGACAAGCCTTGGCCTAAAATACCATATAACCATAATATAAGTTTGTTTTCAGCAGCGAAATCGTTTTTGGATCTAGTTTCGGTCACTTTTTATGTGAACAAAGATTTCCTTTTTAAATGAAACGTACTCTCCCCCGCTCGTTTTTTAATTGATTCCTAATATGTAAATAACTCATTTTCGGATAAAAATATCAGATACTTACGTTTTTTTACCTATCCGTCATACGTCATACACAGTAGTTCGGTAGTTTTTATATGTGACGTATGTTTCATGTACTTTACAATGTTACATATGAGACATTTTGCCCGCATTGCATAGGAATCATCTGTGCAGGTAATGTAAAAATGGAAAAAAGCTCGCAAAAGAGCAGGTTTACTTGAGGTAAAGTGACTCCATCTGCCAGTGAGCATTCGCAATATTCGTAAGGTAGAGGCTTTAGCCCAGCATAAAAGAGATGGGCCCGGGTTACCTCACTCGCTAGACAAAACGGAAAAATTTTACTCCGATCTTATTTGAAGTCGTGAACCTCCTTAGTCTTTGAACTTAACAGAGTACACAAGGATAGCACTCACGTAATACTCTCACGCCCGGTTTCTGAAACACTGATCATCGTAGAAGTTAGCATTATGACGAATCATTCTGACCAATTCAGAGAGTTCAACCATTCTTTTGGCAACTCAAATGACATTTGAATAGCCATTTGACAGCTGATTAGTTAAATTCTACGGCGATCAGTGTTTCAGAAATCGGGCGTCAGCCTTTCAGCTCTCGCCTTGAATAGGCTTTTACTGAACGCTGTATGAGTCTGAACGGGCGGTTTTGTTGGTGTAGGTACCCCGACCTTACATAAGAACGGCGTGAAGTGGAAGTGTTATACTTCTTCGTTTCGTCTGGTGAGTGAGGTAGCCGGTGCCGGTAGGACTTACTATCGTTTACCGGGTGCTAGTGTGGAACGGTTATTACGCACGCACCTGAGGATAATGTCGCTACGTTCAGATCGGCCATCCAATGCTGAACTTTCTGACCTTAACTGAATAACGTTTACTTCAACAAAGACGCTCAGATATCTTCGAAACTGGTTACCGAAACTAGTTCCCGCCGTTTCTATTTCGCCCGTTACTTTACCCGTTATGCCGATCAGTTTATTATAAATAGCCTATCCAATAGAAAAGATTTATTGACGACGTGCCTTGCCCATGAAGCCGGTGGCCCCAGTGATGAGCACTTGCCGACCAGCGTAGAACCGTGGGATAACGGCGCCCGCAGGCGAGCGCGGCCGCGCTACCATTTCGCCGATATGCCGCGATCTGTAACAAGGGAAACGACATTAGTCAAGGTCAAAGCCAAAGTAAAAAAAGTAAAGTATCAGCCTATATATGTCACGGTGGTAGGGCCACGCAGTAGCCTCGGCTGTTGCACGAATGAGCAGGCTCGTCTGGGTAAGTACCACGACCTCACAGAAGACCGGCGTAAAGTGGAAGTATAATACTTTCGCGTTTCGTCTGGTGTGTGAGGCGGCCGGTGCCCAATTTTCAAAAGGTTGTCAACGCATCTGGAACAGGTGTAGCAGATGTCCATGGGCGGCGGTATTCACATTGGAGCCGGCACCGTGGCCTGAACTCGTTGCTTGAGTATATTGAAACAAAAGCGAGCTCCCGGTCACTGAGTTATCACGCCACCAAAGCGAAAGTCGAAGTCGAAATCAAAGAACTGAATGATGACTCTGTGGCGCAGAGGCCAAACGATATAAAGGCGTCAGGGGTCGAGGGTTCGATTTCCACACGGGACAACAATTGGTGTGACCCACAGTTAGTTGTTTCGCATCTGGATGTTTGTCCGCGTGAAATTCATGTTTGTAAAACGTCCTTACAACACAGGATAATGTTATGCTAAGTAAGGGCAATGTTTAAAAAAAAAGAAAAGAACTGCATGGCAAAAAAGCCTACACCGTCTGCAATTTAAAGTAGTTTCCATAGAAGCCAAGCATACATGCATTGAATATAATTTGGACGACGGTCATTGTAGGTGTGTGTAGGTGTTTAAGTGGCTTTAAGTGTATTTAAGTGAGTATCGAGATATGCAGAAGTGTATTATTAGAGTTGACAGTATGAAACTGTAATCACAGGATAACTTTTTTCAAAATCACGCTTGCTTTCTTTCGAAAACGCTGATAAGGTTGTCGATAGGGATTACTCAATAACTAACCTCGTATCAAAATCTCAAAAACAAACGAGTAGGACAGATACAGCTAATGACGTCAATATTTCAGTCGACTTGTCCACTTTCAAACATGGCCGCCTGTACTGCTAACGATTGATAACAGAACTGCGAACTGCACAGAAGCAATCCAAACTTTCTGAGAACTTTTCGAAACTGGAACGATCTAGACTCTAGACCTCTACTTTAAATCAATTACTGTCGTAAGGAGATACTGATCAGCGAGTACGTAAGGAATAGTAATGAAGTCGCCTTTTACTACATTAGTGACGTTTCAATGTCTTGGCTCGGTTTCAAATCCTTGAACCTGAGCATTCCGAGTTCAAATCCCAATGTTAAAATACTTAATCACTCAGTTTATCTTACTAAATTGGTATTTATTACGATTGTTCGTCACCAATGACAAAAATGAATTAACTTATTACGACGGCATTGCCAGTACAGAGGAACATCGAAATTTATTTAAATTAATCTCTGCATTTTAATCGAATGTATGCTATGTTAAACAACTTTCATCATAAATACTTATTTACACATTTTTTTTATGTGAGGAGGTGGCAAGCGAGCTGGCGTTTCACCTGATGTAAGTGATAACAGTCACCCATGGACGTTTGCAACACCCGTACAGTTGCAGATGCGTTGCCACCGTTTCATAAAGTGGGCCCCGGCTTCCTCACTCACCAGATGAAACAGAGAAGTATACACGTAACACTTCTACTTCACGCCGGTCTTCTGTGAGGTAGTGTTACTTTCCCGGACGGACCTGCCCATTCGTGCAACAGCTAATGTGTTCAGATTGACAAATTCCCTAGGAATAATATATATGATAAAGTTTGCCGAGACAGCTAGTATATTATAATTAGGTGACTTATCACGGTAGAGTGCGAACATTTCGCGCAGTCAACCGGTTATTACTTATTTTCTTATTTATCTTGACACTAATTTAATAAGTTTCGACTTAAGCATGTCACAAGTCTTGTGTTTAATTTCACTTGCTACTATTACTGACGCCGGGACTAGTAATGCGGAAGATGGTAAGATGACAGGCATCGTACACCGTGAACGTAATTTGTTTCATTTTATAAAGTGTAATAAAAATTTGTAACCAGATTCCTATAAGCAGTTTAAAAGATTCGATTTACTTAAACATTGTTTTGGGTACTTAAACAATGCAGTTCTAAATATCTTTGGCTGTTGACATTTACAGATGAATATAAATGTTGTCCTTATTGCATTTAAGTTGTTGTTTATGTAAGTAAATGTAATTTGAAGAAATAACTTCGGTAATCGTTAAAGTATTGAAGGATTTTCCGGTATCATAATGTTGTTGTTGTTTTTTTAATGATGTATAAAACATCGCCATAGAATAAACTTTAGGATAATATTATCGTTTAACAAACATAAATTTCACGCAAGCAAACACCCAGATGCGAAAGAAGAATATCTGTGGGTCACACAAATAGTTGTCTCGTGTGGGAATCGAACCCACAACCCCTGACGCCGAAGCCAATGCCTTGGCAACTGCGCCACGGAGTCATCAAGGTTATTTTGTTTGGTTACGTCAGTTCTTCTGCTCCATATATCCTGAATTAAATCATTTCATCCATGCTCTTTATTATAGTTATGACTTGTACAAAAAAATCAATTAGGCTTCCAAAAATGCACTTTGATGTATATTCTTGTACTAGCACAATGTCCGAGCGCCCGTTTCTGATACACGAGTAGCTTGAGATCTATTCCTAGTCCTAGACCTCACAAACGAAACTCTAAATTGCTGGTCAAACAAGTGCTCGGTGGTGGAGGAAAACATCGAGAGGAAAGATACTTAGAAATAGAAAAGATAACTGTAATTGTAATGGTGGTCTTTGTCGATCAAGAAGCCAAAGGAAGGAAGCATACGTTAAAGTAGCCCTCTTAACGCACACTCGATCATATGTTTGCGTTGAAGGCCCGCAGTCCCCCTGTACCAGCAGTATTATTCGACAATAAAAGGATGTTTAAGATATAAAACCTGAAAGAACCTTTATTAAGTTAAACATAACAACATTCAAAATATCAAATCTAACTGAATTACACATTATCTAGCAAATTTAGTCCACACGACATGGTGTCAAGGACGCTATATCGCTATCCTCGTTGAATAGGTTATGCTTAAAATTTGAACGAGAAACGAACCCGCTCTCTTATCACCAAATTTTCAAAAAAATGATGTACAAGGACCCCACGGACCTAAAGTTTCGACAGCAAAGGGTACAAATACATAACCTGAATAAAGAGACTCAAATTCGGGTCACTTATTTAAACTGCCTCCGATGCCGCCCCGGCCTTAACCGATGTACCTCTGATATGAGAAACAGCCAAAGTATCTACACTAGTAGCATACCAAACGAGCGCTTTGCCTCACGAAAGCCAAAGGATCAAAGTCAAGCCGTCGGGTCACTGCCATCGCCACGGATAGGTAGGGCCACGCAGAAGCCTCGGCTGTTGCATGAATGGGCAGTCCCGTCCGGGTAAGTACCACGACCTCACAGAAGACCAACGTTAAGTGAAAGTATGACAAATACTTTCGCGTTTCGTCTGGTGAGTGAGGTAGCCGGAGCCCAATTTTCAAAAGGTTGTCAACGCATCTGTAATCCTCGGGTGTGGCAGATGTCCATGGGCGGCGGTATTCACTTAACATCATCATAAAAAAAAATCTATTATGCATTCATAGATGTACTTACAATTACTCGTACGCAGACAAAAACACCAATATTGTTAAGATATTAATGTGGTTAATCATTACAAGATGCGAGATTACGGTAAATAAATATCGAACACCACATTATTTTAGACGCGAAACTAACATAGCGTATCTTTTTAAACAACTTATAAAACTACATGTATTGATATAATTCCGGTCTAGTTACAAATCGTATTATTTAGACCTTTCCGAGCGAACAAATGTTCTTTGCGAAAGTGAACGCAGGGATTTCTATACGAACTGAAGGTTACTTGTATCGAAAGATAGTCATAAATGTGCCAAAGTCTATTTTTGAATATCTATCCGGCTGGGAGCGGTACGTGCAATAAAATCGCCTTTAGCTGATCTTTTACTTGTTATTGTTTCGTAATTCGTTGCAATTATTAATAATTACCGTAATAAGAGCAACAAACCTTAATATTTGCATGCAAATAGTAAATGTATGTTATTGTAATAAGCGACAAAAAAACTAGTTCCTGAGTCGAATCTATATAATTATTATGTACCTACATTATTGTATGCATTGAGTTAATGTTGACAAAGAGACTATGACAGTACTAAACACTGTGAGCGTTGAAATATTACACTAGCTGTTGCCCGCGACTACGTCTGCGTGGAATAGGGTGAAAGCGAAAAATTCAGACAGATACAGACAGATCTATACATATAATAAATATGTAACTTGTCTGTGTCTGTACCTTTGAGGAAAACTATTGTTAAAGATCCCCCTTTATCAACGCAATAGAACCAAAAAATGTAAATGTAAATAACTTTAGCTCTGGCGTAATTCAATTAAAATAAATTTTAAACGATAGAGAAAAATCACTAATGAATTTATCAACAAGCAGAATTCGGCGGTCGCTTATAGTTTTCGAAAAAATAAATAATGAAATAGTGTGATTTTTACTATAGAAATCCGCCATTTTTTTGTTGTCAATATGTCAATTCTAATCGTATTTCTTGGTGGTCATAAAAAAAACCTAACCTCGAAGGTTAAGGTTCTAACCTAACCTATCCGAGTCGGATTCGCTCTGTGTCGGTTCTGTGACTCATTAAATTAAAAAAAATCGGACTATCGATACGAGTATGATATCGCCCGCTTCCTATATTTATCATGTTGGCAGAACTGTGTATTGAGTTTTTGAAGTCAAATAAATAAAATGGTGGATTTCTTAGTAAAAATAACAAGTTTTAAATATTTTTTTGCTCGAAAACTCGAAAAATTGTTGTCTGTGTATTTGTGCTTTTGGGTGCGCTAATCAAAGAAATGGCTTAACCGATTTGGGTGCAACATAAACTAATGTATTTTAGTATAGGTACTTCACAAAACATTTAGTGTTAGTTTTATTCAAATCGGTTCATAAAATTAAAAGAATAAAAGTTATATTAACTTTAAAAAAAATAATAGCTACATCTGAATTTGATGAAACTATAGTAAACGATAATTATATTATGGTCGGTAAAATGATGATGATTGTTAGATTATATAAATTTAAAACCCAGGCAAGTGCCAGTCGCAATCGTGCACGAAGAGTTCCATATAATAATCTATAAAAAAGACCAAAAATATCATGTCTGTTGAATTGAGAACCCCACTTAGAAAAAAATATTCAGATTTTTTTTATTTGGTGTTATAGCGTCAACAGAGTTCATCATCATTTTGCCTTCTGGGAAACAATTACTATGGATACACAAATAACTGTCCCGTGTGAGAATCGAACCCACGCCGTGGTTGTCAAGGCATGCCAACTGCACCATGGTCAGGCGAGTGGTATTCGCGAAATAAACACAATTTTGTCTAAGCCACACCCAGTGATAATCTCAGCTTGAATTATGTGCCTTTGTAGAAAAGTTACGTTTACATGAAGTTAAGTTTATATGAAGTTGAACATGGAATGCGCCATTGCACAATTTTACACCAACATTGCGCGGGATTCTATGTGCAGAAAGGCCACTTGCAGTATAAGAATTATCCCAAGAATTATCGTGATATCAACAGGAAAATTCTTGGTTATATGAACACTTGAAAGTTCTCTAAATACAGAACTTATCAGTTTAGTTTCGGGGAAAACGACTGTACCAAGCATGTCCGAAAGACACACCTCCCCTTTTTTTCTCTGAAAGGATATCCTTTCTACCTTCTTAAATTTTAACAGAACATAGGAAAGTTCTTGGGCATGCAAACGGAGTCCGCACGTTAACTGTAAACCGTAACTTATGTTTTTGAGGCCAGAGATAAGAATGCTTTTGTGAGGCATTTATTTCCTCGCTTTAGTCCTCTGAGTAATGAGAGAAAGGGTTTTGAAAATCTCTAGAGAAAACAAGTGTGACGTACCCCATTGGCCTTTCATCTTGGTGTATGCAGTTTAGGGGCCTCTATGGGTGCTCAGTCAAAATTCACTCTCAGTTTACTTTTTTACTTTACTTTAATGTTTATAACCTATAACTAACTCTTATGTGAGAGATAATGAATGGCGTCTATGGCGAAATGGGTATCAGCACAAAGTCGTGTTTGGTTTTCATTAGATTGTTGAGACGATTGGATCTCATTCTTTTTAATTCTATCGAGATA